AAACCTAAATAGAAATATACTTATAGAATAAAGAGCTAAAGCGTTAGCGAGATCGCTACGCTACGCTACTAAGACGAGAACTACTACTAAAGAGTAAATTATAAAAATAGCGAAGTATTATAATAAAAAACGGTAACTAATATTCTTTAACGTTAGAGATCGTATATTACTAGTAGCTAAGAATATTAATTTTTCGTATATAAGTCGTAAGCTATCTAATTAATTCTTAGATCTTTTCCGTATCGTTAAGAGAATTAGCTAAAACGCGTATAAGCTAGATCTTCTAGCGAAATACGATAGACTATACTATATCTTCTATATATCTCTCTTATAAGCGTATCGTAAGCGATCTAGAGACGAAACTCCGAAACTAATTAATATCGAGAGAGAGGAAGAATAGAAAATTAAGAGAATTCTCGATAAGCGCTAAAGACGCGAGCGAACTAAGTTCTACGTCCGATAGAAAGGATTTAGCGAAGTATACGATAACTAGGAACCCGAAGATTATCTATAATACGTAGAAGAAGCGATTATCGAATTTAGAAATAAGAAAAGTAATTAATTATTATAATAGCGATAAAGTCGTACTCGAGACGGAAATATTAAGACCTAATCTTACTTCTTCTTAATCGAAGAGCTAGTATAATCGTTAAACTCCTTAAAAATATTATCTACCTTATTAATATTAGTCTTCTCGTTAGAAGAGATAATAATAAAGTCTCTAGCGGTCGAACGCTATAAAGCTTATTAATATATCGTATATAAGTCTCTTAAAAGATAATATATAGAAGAGGCTACTCGATCTAGAGTCGAAGTAATAGAGAACGAAAAGAGACGACGGCGAATTATAAGCGAGCTCGGGAAAGTAGGCGCGACTATCTCGGCTATTAATTATCGAATTATTAGTACGTTTAGGGTTAATACTAAACGAGGCGTAGTAGGAGAACGTATAGAAGTTAGAGGCGAGACTAATAGAAGATTCTTATTAGCCTTCGTATATACTTAGTTTACTATACGTATCTCGAGATAAAGAGCGTATACGGTAGTACGAACTTCTATATAGCTATTACTAGTCTATAGAGTCTACTTATTTATAATAAGTAGGGCTCTAGTCTAGTTTAGAAGAGTAATAGAGATCTATATAGTTAGTATAGAAGTCGTATACAATATAGTATAGACTTACTAAACGATACTACGCGATAGTCCGCCGCTTACGTATATACTTTATATAGCGTATCGTTTCGAGCTTATATTCGTAGATAATCTCTTAAATATCGTCTCTAAGAGATTGGATATATCGTTAGTAGAGTATCTCGTTATTAGGAATATTAAGAATATCGTTAGATAGAGCTACGAGCGTTAGCGTAAGATCGTATATAAGATAGACCCTACTTACTCTTATTAGGAGAACTAGAAGACTTATCTAGTAACTTATTACTAGAGGGTATTATAGTCGAAGAGTTTACTAGATCTAGAATTAATACTATTTCTATTAGTATACTACTCGTATATAATCGAGAATATACGTACTCTTATTTTAGTTATTAATTAAAGATATAGACTTATATAGATAGATAAACTTATATAAGAAGATAAATAAAGAATAGAAGACTTAAGTTTATTTATAAGTTATTATAGCTACGAGACGTAGACGATATACCGCTAAGCGTAGAAAAATACTACTTTAGGATATACTATACTATTACGAGGCTACGTAAGGCTACGTTAGGAAGAGGGAGGGTATCTACTACGTAACTACGATTACGTACGCGACTCTATCGATACGGAATCCTATATCTTCTCGAGGACGAGAAGTCTAGAAGGGGGGGATAATATTACGAATATCGATACTAACTATCGATAACTTATATTCCTCGACTATTCGGATAAAAGCTAAGAGATATAAACTATATACGCTTCGTATAAAAGAGCTTTTCTTCTCTTATGCTTCGAGTCGTGTATAACTATAGGGTTAAGGAGTACTTAATACTAATTAAAGACTTATCGCTGTACTCTGCCTATTCCCATTAGGCGTTCCTAACAGCTAGCCTGGGCTTCCTGGGTAGGGCTGGCACTTTTGCCGATGTAGACTACTAGTAAGTACTAGTACTATTACGGAGTATTATAATAAGGTACGAACCTAACGTAAATATATATTGTAATATAAATTCTAAGACGAAGGACTATAAAAGAGTTATATTTGGTTACGCGAGTAAGTATACGGTAACTAAGGCGTACTAAGCCTTCGTCGATATACGTAATAATTATATATAGCTACTATTACGTAGTACGTCTAGTAGTACGTAATATTACGATATTAGCTATATTAATCCGTAATAAGAACTATAGTAAAAGAATAATAATTTAAAACGTACTAGGAGTACTTTTTCTTTCTTTTTCTTTTAAGACTACTAGTACTTAGTACTTAGACTAATACCGTTAAAGATTTTCTTTTTAAGATTCTAGGCGATAGCGACGTCGTTACTACTTAACTACGACGCCGTATATCGTATTTAGAGTAGTAATTTTGATATATTTGTCTATAATCTATAAATATTACGTAATATATTAGTTTAAAAAATTTTAAATTTTTAACTAAGTTAAGAAGTAATCGTCGATAGCCTATAGCGATCTCTATAGCGATCTCTATACCAATCCTCTCGTAATCCTCTCGTGATCTACGATACGTTATTTAGCCTATAAGTGATCCTATAGTGATTCTCGAATAGGATCGAGCGTTGATAAAGAATCGATATAGGATTAATCCTTTATAGAAGGGTATGTATATATATAGTATTACTATATATAATCGAGATATAGAGAGAAGAGAACTAGCTACTTAGTACTAGCTACTAAAAAGTTTTAAGATTACTTCTTAAAACTTATAATACGCTACTAATACTAAATTAATACGGTTTCTATACGGGCTAGAAACCGTTTAGGGAATCGAATATATATCTAATATAGTTCCTCCACAGTTCGAACCCGATTCATAATCGGTTCGGAATCGGTTCGGAACTATTTATAAGTTTACTTAAGCGTACTTAATATAATTCTACTATTAGTCGTAATCGGTTCCAAACCGTTTAGGGGTTTTAGCGTATCGAGGATATACTAGCTACTTAGCGCCTTCTTATGTAGAATATATAGTATAGTAATAAAAGTTATTATTACTCGCTACCTTTACCGCAAAAATAGCACTATATAGTTTTTAAGTATATAGGTGCCTACCCCCTATAGAATCGATACAGTATCAATACCGTATTAATACGGTTTCGAAACCGTTTAGAGGATCGAATACGTATCTAATACGGTTCCACTACGATTCTACTATAGTTCGAAATCGACTCGAATACGATTCGGAATCGGTTCGAAACCGGTTCGAAACCATTTACGAGTTTAAGCGTATTGAGATCGTATCGACTCTATTTACTTATATCTACTAGTTCGCGATATCTACTAGTTCGCGTATAGATTATCTACTAGTTTAAGTATATCTACTATATACGTGCCTTCTTAATTATTATCTTACTACGCAACTTCTCCGCGTGCACCTTCCACGTACTATATAGCTATCGAGCGTTCTAATAATCGTTCTACTACACGCGTATATCTTCTCGAACGTCCTGCCGAGACTACGCGTGCATCTACTCGAACGTCCTCTCGAGCGTCCTGCCGAGCGTCCTATTGATCGTCCTGCTGCGCGTGTACCTACTCGAACGTTCTCTCGAGCGTCCTATTAACCGTCCTGCTAGGCGTACGTCTCCTCAAACGCACTGTCGAACGTACTATCGAACGTACTATCGAACGCACTGTCGAACAGTTGAGCGAGTACTGTAGTTGGACGCACTGTTGAATGCACTGTCGAACGTACTGTTAGTTGGGCGTATAGTTGGGCGTACAGTTGGGCGTGCAGTTGGGTGTGCAGGCGTGCAGTTGGGCATGTAGCGTAGACTTTTTCGATTATAGGTCTACTAGTAGTAGTAAACGTAGAAATAGTAATAAAATCGGGTTATAGCCGTATCTAGGCTCTAAACCGTATTCGAGACTCTCGAGGTTCAATACCGTGCTAATACGGTATTAAGCCTCGAAATCGATTCCACTACGGTTCGAAACCGGTTCTAAACGTTAATTTTATTATCGATTTAAGTACGTCGACTCGGATCGAAACCGGTTTAGAACCGATTCGGATCCGTAGTGGAACCGGTTTCACTACGGTTCGAAACCGTATCGGATACTGTACTATATCGAAACCGTATCAAAACCGTGTTAAAACCGTGTTGAAACTGTATTAATACGGTATTGATACGGTGTTGAACTACTCTACTATAGCCTATATAGTAATATATTCTATTATATTTTAATACAGTATCGATTCTATAGGGGGTAGGCACCTATCTAGTTGGAAAATTAATTTCGAGACTCCTAACTGTATTCGAGGCTTAACACCGTACTAATACAATCTCAAGCCTCGAAATCAGTTCGAAACCGGTTCCAATATAGCTCTAAACGTGAATCTTGCTATCTGTTAAAGTTCGGCTACTTAGATGGAAACTAGTTTAGAACCGATTCGGAGTCGGTTGAAACCGGTCCGGAAAATTGAAACTATGATTACGGTTTTCATTTTATACTATAGACTAATTCTATAGGGTGTGGGTAGATACTAGTATCTATATATAAGCCTAAGGTACTTCTAGAGTAATTAGATAAAGCCCAGCGCGTCTTCTCTGGTAAACGTTGTATAAGTTGAACCTTAGAGTGTGGTACATTAGTATAGAAGGTACTAGATTGTTAATGTTAACTATACTGGTACTTTTTACTACTACTGGGCCCTGGTATACATGTAGTAGGGCATGCGCCGTATAAGGCGTCCAAGTTGCGTAATGCTTTGCAACCTCCACCTGCGCCTAAGTAAATGTGATATCGGTCATATATTTGCGGGGCAGGAATCCGCAGTGTGGCCTAGTCTATAATATAAATAAAAACTTGTCCCTTCAAGCCTTTATCGTAGAACTTAGGTTACCTTACCTAGGTGCAATCCCGTACGGCTGGAGGGTCGTTCCCAAGTCACACTTTCAAAAGAAAGACAGAAGCAAAACTAACCTGCAAACTCAGTTCATCGCACCCAGTGCTAGTGAGTGAGATAGTCGACCTCTGGCAGGTTGATTTTCACCAAATGGCGCCGTTTCCCACGTTTGAGCTTCCGAAGGTCAGTCAGTTTAACTATCGCTCTCCGATCAAACAATCCTTTCATAGCTTGATATACCAAGCATAGTACTGTGTTCTGACTCACCGGCATGACCGTACCACATACAGTATCTCCTATCGGACCGAGAGCATGCAAAGTATGTGCTCGGAGGAAGTGCAGCTCCAGAGGTCACACTCGATGACCTGATATCGCTGTCGAGCGACCCGGCGGCCACAGAGAAGGCGCTGGACTTCCGAACTCTGAAGCTGTCGCTGGACTCTGGCCGAGGAAGTCTGCAACTGCGGAAGAACATCGCTGCATTGTATTCATCCTCATCGTCGTCGTCCTCCTTCTCCGCCTCCTCCAGTGACAATGCTCAAACGCATATCACACACGAAATCTCCCCGGAGCACGTCATCACAGCGACCGGCACGACAGGAGCGAACTCAGTGATCTTCCAGGCTCTTTTGAGCCCCGACGACCATGCGATCTGCATGTACCCAACATACCCGCAGCTGCTGGGCCTGGCCGAGCGCTTCGCCGGCGAAGTGTCGTACTGGAAAAGCGACCCTGCAACGGGATGGGTACCAGACCTGGACGAACTGCGGCGACTAATCAAACCATCGACAAAACTGCTCGTGTTGAACAATCCGAACAACCCTACAGGGTGGCACTTTGAGGCCGACTTGCAACGACAGATTATCGACATTGCGCGCGAGAAGAACATTATCGTCTTTGTCGATGAGATTTTCAGACCTCTTTTCCATGCCATAAAACCACCACCCTCATTCATAGCGCATGCCGAGTCCTACCCGAAGATCATTGTGACGAGTTCTGTGAGCAAGGCTTGGGCGTTGTCCGGGGCACGTGTGGGATGGGTCATCTGTCGCGACCAGTCTCTGCTGGATACCCTGTGGAATGTGAGGCATTTTGCCTTCGAGTCCATCAGTGCCTTCGATGAGGCCGTTGCCACCGAAGCTTTGAGTGTTCGTTGTCGTCCGGCTTTGTTGCAACGGACCCTTGACTTTGGTGCGCAGGATCTGGTGTTGCTGGATGCTTTCATCGAGAAGAATAAGGACTTGTGCTCCTGGATGAGACCAGTCGCAGGAGCGGCTGGCTTTGTCAGGTTTTCAGATGCAGATGGAAACGCGCTTGATGATGTCGAGTTCTGCCAGGCACTGGTGAGGGAGAAAGGGGTGTTGTTGACTCCTGGAAGTCTTTGCTTTGGTGGTGCCTCACATGGCGATTTCAAGGGCTATGTGCGAGTACATTTCACCGCGTTCCCGGATACGTTGAAGAAGGGGTTGTCTTTGATTGACGAATTCCTGCAGGAGAGGTATCGCAAGTGATTGACGGGGAGGGTCATATGGGGGAACTCGTGGCGTTCATAAGGTTTTCTCCGCCTGTGGTCTTGGTGAATGGATTCCATGTATATTCCATACCATAATGGTTCTGGTGCACTGGAAAAATGGACGATGATCGCAAGATTCCATGAGGACAATATATGCCACGTATGAACAACATTTCCTGGCTGGCTCCAGGTCGATGAATGCATACCTAGGCAGTTCTAGGGTGCCCCATCCCAAGAAGACAGTCACGCATGCCTGGCTGTCCTGGTATAAGGTAGAGCGCTGGACCCCTTGGCCATGTACCAGTGCCTCTTTGGTACAGGTTTCGATCCCTCTCTGCAGCTGACGGGACAAACATCATCGGGCCACATTATACCACGTTGCGCCCCTGGTCTAAGACGCGGCTTCTCCATGGCAAGTCCAGAAAATAGGAGGATAGAGTCACCTTCTCTGCCCTATCTGCCAGTCCTCGTCCTAGCGGATGGCATCGCAGGAACTATCCTATCCTATGTGCGTACCTTGGTAGGTACGCAAATCACAGTACTTGTGCCCGAATTGCCATTGCCATCGCAGTCGGCGCACGAACCTGTCACAACGGATACGAAGCCTCCTTTCCAACTTATCATGGGTACATTCTTAAGGCAAGTGGACGTCGACATTGCGACGGAGTATATATTGTATCGACCAGCACCTGTCAAATTGTCAATTGTGATAGGTTCAACCACATTCAATACATGTATTATATACCAGCTACCAGGTACTACCCGCTGAAAAGGAGAAATCAATCATCCAGCCACTATACCACCCTTGGCCAACATGCCACTGCCACACAATCCACAGCTCACAAAGCCGAAAGAAAATCCAGCACTACGCTACGTTGAATTCATAACCCCGGCAGACCAAAGCAGGGCAAAGCAGAGAAAGGACACCAACTCCAATATCGTAGCTACACGGTCCAGACTCCAGTGCAAATCCTATCAATTCCTCCGGTCCGGCTATATTGCCATTAAAGGCATCTACACGCTGTGCCGCGTCAAGTTGAGTTGAGTTGAGCTGAGCTGAGCCAACAACGACCGAACGAACACCAGCGGTAAACGAACGGCCGGGGCGAGCGCGCGCAAAAAGACTACTCACTCATGAAATTCTCCGAGCTTGAATACAACGCAAATGCTAGTACCAATCATCCGTACGTCGGTCAGGTCAGCAGCGCAATTCCAGTGGACAAGAGTCCAGGACGGACGGGAAGTACTAAGCAAACAACAAACAATCAGCAAACACGATTCAGCCCGTACATACTACCAGAGCTTCACCCTCGCTCTCACACTCTTCGGGAGTGCCCAGGCCATGCAATGCCATGCCAGACCAGTCTACGCTGGGAAACACGTCCGTTGCTGACGCCGTTGCGGTTGCGGCCCAAGTTGGATTGATGAAGCGCAGTGACAGGTCTCCCAGAAGTGGTTTTTGATTCATCGTACGAGCCGTGCCGTGCCGTGTTTGCGCAAGCCACAAACTTCGATTTCAAGTTGGAGCAATCAATAAGTACTACAGTACGTACGGGGCGGGGGCTAGGGCTGACCTGCTACCATGCTGACTGATACCGGGGTTAGAAATATCGATTTGAAACTATTCCCTCGCTTCCAATCATGGACATTTTCATGATTCGCATCTCTTCAGGTCGCACCGGCCATCAGCAAGCATCATCGGTCAGCATCCATCACATCGTTCGTGGCTGAAAATCACTGCAAGCGCTCCGGTCCGTACTGTACCATGCGTAGATCAGCCGGCCCCTAGCCTAATCCGCCCGGTCCATGCGATGCCCCCATGCGATATGGCATGGCATGGCATGAAATCCGATCTGGTTCAACGGTCGGCCCACAGTGCCAATGATACCACTGGCAGTGACACCACTCCACATACTGGCAGGCCACGTTTGTTCTGATCTGTCCCGTCCTGTCCTTCTTCTGTACGTTCTACCGGCTGAAGCGTCGATAAATAAATATATAGTGGTATCGTATCACAATCAATTCAACTGGTGTGGCCAGGGCAGGCCAAAGCACCTCACTTGCGCTCTGTGGCTGTCGCTGCGCTTGCTAGATCCAATAAATAGGTTTCATGTATGCCAAGTGCCAGTGCATATACCCGAGCTGACAGATGGACGGTTCAGCCAGCCTCGTGCCATGCGCCCGCCTCGCTTCCAAGCATCCGGAGACAAAAGGTCGTTCTCGTTCCCGTGTTTTGCAAAGCCTCGCTTTGTTCTGGATGGGGGCAAGCCCCTCTCTATCTTGCTTGTATGGCAGGCAGGCCTCCCCCTCTTCGTGAAAGGTATATATCTATCATGCTTGAAACTCATCCATCATCATGAATCCAATTCAGGGCTCCCCCTAGATGCAGATAAAATAGTCTGCACCACCTCATTCTGCCTGCTGTACCTCGACTTCAAAGATGTTCCAATTCCTCTTCTCCATCGCATGTGCAGTCCTGCGAATGAACACATTCCTCCGAGACACGCCAGCGGGCCAATTCCTACGTCTTATCGGGTTCAAGGAATGGCTCGCCTACCCAGAAGAACTCCCCGGGTTCGAACCGACCAGCATGCCCGTCGTCGTGTCGGAAGAAACAGCAGAGTCAGACACTCCGGGAGTGTTGAACTTGCCAGCCGAACACGAAATTGACCCCGACCTGGAAAAAGTGCACTCCAAGACCTCGATCTCATTGACTCTAGACCAGACAGCCGCCACGCGGCGACTGTCGCAGGACGGCCTGTCCGAGGCCATTGTGGTATCCTTCACCGAGAATGACAGCGACAACCCGCGGAACTGGTCGACCGCAAAGAAAAATTGGACTCTGGTCGTGATCAACCTGTACACTTTTGTCGTGTACTGTACGGCCTCTATCATCACGCCGACGGCCGGGTTCATCATGAACCGGTTTGGGGTTTCCATTGTCGTGGCAAGTCTGGGGCTTTCCATGTACGTTGTTGGATGTAAGTCAAATGGCTCCCCTCCCTTCCATGCAGCAATGTCTTTGAGTCAATAGTTGACGTCTTCAAAGACGGCGTTGGCCCAATGTTCTTCTCACCCATCAGCGAGATCCCTCGCATCGGCCGCAACCCGCCGTACCTGTACAGCTTCATCGTCTTCTTCGGCATGTCCATCGCATTGGCGTTTGTCGACAATTTCCCGGGCTTGATCGTCTTGCGCTTTCTGCAAGGTCTGTTCGGCAGTCCATGCCTTGCCAGTGGCGCCGCCTCCTTCGACGACATTTATGACATGTACAGTGCACCATATGGCTACATCTGGTGGGTGGCCAGCATGTACTGCGGTCCTGCGTTCGGTCCACTGTTGGCCGGGTACGCCGTTGCCGACAATTGGCGTTGGCCACTGTACGAAGTGGTCATCATGGCTGGCATTGTGTTGGTCTTGCTGCCTCTCCTGCCGGAGACATCGCCGACGACGATCCTGCTTAACCGTGCCCGACGTCTGCGCCAGGCCACCGGTAACAAGGCGTACCTGGCTCCGTCCGAACTCAACCCCAGGCCATTCACCCACGTGTTGAAGGAGGCTCTCGAAAAGCCGGGCGAGATCACCGTCAAAGATCCCGCCATCGCATATGCCTGTGTGTATGGTGCCATCGTCTATGCCACTTACTATTCCTTCTTCGAGGCCTTCCCGTTGGTCTACCTGGGCACATATAAAATGTCCCAGGGGGCGCTCGGGTTGATCTTCACAAACATCACAGTCGGCTGCTTGATTGGCTTGATCGCATACTGGCTCTATCTCCGGTACCATTTCATTCCTCGCGCGAAGCAGTACCATCAACGCCATGGCGAACCTGTACCGCAGGAGCAATGGTTACGACCTGGTCTTCTGGGAGTATGGGGCCCACCTGCGGGATTATTTCTGTTCGCCTGGACCGCTCGTGCCGATATTCACTGGATAGCCCCCACCGCCGGCATTGCGATTTTCGCCGCAACGAGTTTCTGGGTCTTTCAGAGCCTCATTTGCTACATCCCGCTGACGTATCCAAAATACGTCGCCTCGCTCTTTGCTGCCAACGACCTCAGTCGGTCGACCTTGGCCGCTGCATTTGTCCAAGTCACACACCAGATGTATGTCAATCTTGGTATTGATCGTGGCGTCACCCTTGTAGGCGGCCTGTCATGCATTGGTGTTGTCGGCATGTACGGTCTGTACTATTACGGGGCGTCTCTGAGAGCGAGGAGCAAGTTCACCGGGTAATGCAGGCCGGTCATTGCACAAATTCCACTTAGTGCTTGTAATATTATCTGCGATGGAGGCGTTCTGGTGTTGAAGGTGAAGAGACTCTGGCGGGATGGCGTTGTGATGACCATGTGCTTGATGTTCCTCATGGTAGCAGGAGATGCTTCTTTGATAGTTCCAATCAATCTTTAGAAACCCTTTGCGAAGATTAAGGAAGTGCTCGGCAGACGAGAAATGCACAGATAGAGCAGGGAAGTGTTTGGCTCCTGCAGTGGGCGGACAGACCAGACACACTGGTAGTGTGCTAGACTGCAAGCCACCTAGTTTCCTGAATACGACAGAGAAAGCCATTTCATTGAATTGCAATGCCGCCTCGGCGTTCGAAATAGCGGGAGGATCTCAGCAGTGGTGGCACTGAGGAGGCGGACCGCCATGGAGTCTTCCTCGATATTCAGCCTATCCGTAAAGGTATTAGGATGTCTTGCCAATGCAAAGGGGCCAGCTGCACTTTGTGTGGATGTTGGAAAGTTGTCGGCGCTAGTGGGCTTGCCCTGTTGCGGGTTGCCCATCAGCGCACGTGAAGCAAGCAAGGGCTGAGGCGAGTTTGCAATTATGCTCCGAGAGCATTCCGCTCATTTGAGTGATGGTTTCCGTGCAGTGTATTAGGTAGTAGTAGCTGAAGACCCCCGAAACTTCAAAAAAACCGTAGCATGCATACTCCTTGTTGCTGTTGCATGCTGGATTCCTCTCTCGCCGGACGATTCCTCTGGGTTGGTAGGCCAGGTCGTGGCATGATTCGAACCACTAGCAAACCGGAATTCATATCGAATTCCGTCCGGGTTGCACTGGCAGGATAACTCACTGTGGACATGCGTGAAGCGGTGACAGAAGTCCACCCAAAGTCTCCAGAAGCATATACTCCCGGGTACTGGCGCATGTCCGATGTGGGTGGCGCTACGGAAGTCGGGCAAAGGTGCGGAAGTCGGCGGATCAATTATTAGACTTCTGTGGACGTCGATGTGGAGGCCCCATTCGTAGCCGGAAGTTTTGTCTTGAGTGAGCGTTGTCGAAAATTGGGATATCTCGTCAGTCGGTTCGGTAATCGGGCAGTAATGGGATTTGTCGCAGATGAAGCACGGACAGGACCGTTAGACCGAAAATGCGGTGGCCTTGGAAAATGACGCTGCATCGAGAATAATAGAGGTTATTGCAGGGTTTCAACCACATCTCAACGGCTGTCGGCGGCTATCGGTGTCGCAAGTGTGGAGGCTGTGGCCCTAAAGGGACAATCAGCCTTGTCTGGTGATCGGAATCCCAAGGAGTAATCGTACTCGCCCTGTGGTAGCTGGAGTGTGCGACTAAGCGCTAGGCGAGAGAACGGTGAGGGACTCTGGCCTGCAAGGGGTAGCTGATACCGTAAACCGGTTGTAAGCGATACATAGGGAGGCCGCTGCCAGTCCATCATCATGCCCTCTCCATCCACATAAAATCCAGCTGAGCAATATGATGCCCGACGAGCAGGAAAAGAGCGTACACTCGCCGGAGCGGCAAGACCATCGCAACTTCACGGAAGCGTCGAAGGTTGAAAATCTCCCTACCCGACTCAAACAGCACTTGACCAGCCACATTCGAGTCAACTTCCTCGCCGAAACCGAGCTCCTAATCCTCACCTTTTGCACGGGAATCCAAGATGCGACCACCTTCCCCGACTACCATTGTTTCGCCTCAAATCAGACAGGCAATACTGTCATGCTGGCAATGGCTGTGCTTTTGCCCAATATCACACACGAGTTGTTTGTGACGGGAAACATCGGAGTGTCTTTGGGTTGCTTCGTCGTTGCAGGATGGTTGACCGGGCAGTTGGGTCATATAATAGGGCCGCGATCACGTCACTGGATAGTGTTTTGCAACTTTGTCCAGACCATACTGGTACTCATAGCATCTGCCATTCAGTACAAATATGGGGTCGAGCTGGAGGGTACCAAGACTTTGGTTGTTGTGGGATTGCTGGCTTTTGCTGCTGGAAGTCAAGTCGTCCTGTCCAGGTCTCTGGCGATAACTGAGATCAGTACTGCCATGGCAACAGCGGCGTGGGTCGACCTAATGATCGACAAGAACCTGTTTGCCTTACAGAACAGGGCTCGGACACGGCGAGCGAGCTTTCTGGCTGCTCTTGTTGCCGGAGCTTTCCTTGGGGCGTATGTATATCGGAGATCGGGCTCGGCACCAGCCATATTGTTCTCAGGCATTGGAAAGCTGCTGGTGACCATCATGTTCTTGTTCAACGGCAAAGACAAAACCACGGAATCTCAAAGCATCGCCTAGTGTTGCAAGGTGTCATTGGAAAGTCATATAATGTCAATAGCAGCAAACCGCCAGTAGTGAAATGAAAACATCAGACAGCAGCACTTCTGGTCCGCTGTGAGGCTAGTCGCGTGATTTTTAAAAGTAATCGTCGTCCACGCCCTGGGGAAATCCGTAGGTCTCCAGGGTCTCAGGCCACCCCATCCAAGGGTTGAAAGCAAAACGCATGCCATCCGATGACTGATCTGGTGGTTCCTCGTCATATGATGCTGGTTCATTGTTAGCAGTCGCGGCAATGCCGTTTGGCACCGGGTATGGCCTGGACGTGACAGAACTGGTTCCGTTGGGCTGGTTGACTTGCGCGCTTCCGGTGTTCGGGAGAGCACGGTTCGCAGCCGAACTAGTTCTTTGGGAGCGACGTTCCTGCTGGGTGGAGAGAGTATGCCGGATGGCTGACGCTCGGGGCTGGATAGTGGGTGCAGGGCTTGTGACTTCGTTGCTGTCATCAACGAAATCCGCTCTGCGAATCAAGCTGTGAATTCCCAGTCTTTGCCGAATTCTCGCTTCATCCGCGAGACGCGGATCCTCGTCAATCGTTTCCTCCGGCTGTGGCAACTGTGCAGAACCTGACGCGTTGAACCTTGTCGAGTATCTTGCGATGAGAAGTTCCATTTCTTTCTTCTGCGAAAGCTGTTAGCAGTGGTAGGCAGCAACCAGCACAGGCAAACCAACCATTGGTTCCACCACCGGGGAGTTGGGAAAGTATCGCTCCAACATGCGTTGGCAGAAGCGAGCCTTCTCGAGAGCGGCCCCGACACTCAAAGGTTTCGCAACTACGTTCGGTTGAGTCGTGAATAGAATGATTCGCGTAGCATGATATGCATGATTCGCAGTGTCAAAGTCAACCGTTTGCGCCGGAGACTGCTCCGAGAATTCCTGAAGGATCTGAACTATTGATAAGGCATGCTGCAAGCACAACCCTCGAATGCGTAGTACTTCTTGACTGTCTATGCCGTCTAGTGCCGAAGCTGGGGCCGCTTCCCGATATCCGGTTAAGAAGATGCGATAAAGATCGCAATGGGTCAAGTGCCATGACTGATGGACAATGAGAAGTCGAACCTGCTTTCGACCATGAGTGAACATTGTCGAGGAGTACTTGTCGAAATCTGCAAGGCTCTGATAGAGATGGTCCAGCTCATTTTCAAATTGTTGCACTGAACGCATCAAGTCCCGAGGCTCAACACGGAAGGAAGCAAGGCGACGCGTCAACCTGTCTCAGTCAGCATCGTTCCGAGGGCGGGAGGGGAAGACTGCTGTACATCATTATGTCTCTTCTAATAGAGACCAGCCTCAAGCAGGCAGCGTATACACCTAGCCGTTCCACGGTCTTCGTAGACACCGCTCGTAGAGGCGGCGTCTTCACAGGAGTGTCGTCTTCGAACTCGGTTTCTGGACAAGGAAGCTGCAGGTATAGAATTTCCGGAGGGCAAATTTCGTATTCTCGTAGGCCGACGGAGAAGTTGGAATCGAGAAGAAAACAAGACCACATAATTCGCCTGCGGACCTCCTGCACCAGAAACCGAAGCTCGGGCCGCTCGTAGTTCAAGCGGAGTGCGACTGCACATCTGCCCGCAAGGGCGGCAAGCATAAAAGCTTTCGAGAAGTTCCCAGCCTCGACTCTGTATCGGACGATAAGGACAAGTGCCTGGAGACGAGAAGTTGAGGGAGTATCGATCGTCTGCATCAGGTACTCCTCGGCCTTGCTAGCCCAACTCGCGCTGAGCTCAGCATCGTACTTTTCGAATTTCAGGCGCTGGGTTGTGACAGCACATATCGCCAGAGGCAGGCACTCTTCAATGGAACCATCCATATACCTCTGCACGACAGACCTCTTATGGAGGAAAGCAAACCAGGGTAAAGGATAGACATGCTCGAAGTACGCATCGAAGAGGGCAAGGGTCTCCTCCACCGGAGGCAATAAATTCGCCGTGGAAGTCTCGGGAGCCATCTGTTTCAGGATTGGTGAGACCGTTCCGCTGCTGCCTTGGCCTTGTGCCGTGGTAGGAGGCGTAGCAAGTTTCGTCGCCCGGGACGGTCTCTTTGGTGTTGGATAGACGCATTCTCGTCCTCGCCTGACACATTTCGCACATGCTGGCAGGTCACCTGGACAGCGAGTTTTCTGCGCGCGGCATTCGATACATGCCAAAGCGCCTCGCCTTCGCTCAAGTTGGACCTGAGCACTCTCGCCCGAACAAAACCCATCGCCGGAGCCATCGGAGGATCGTTGAAAGGAGCAGTCAAATTTCAAACGCTCACAGTTTTGACAGAATCCCGGCCGTCCGTCACATCGAACCTGGCCAGATCCTGAGTCAGGGGAGGACCGATAGAGGACAATAAACGCCCTGTGGGCCGTGCCTTACCTTTCGAACCCTACATTGAACACAAGTGTTCCTTGACTTTTTCGTGCTCGGGCCCGGAACAGCCATATCGCAGCCAACTCACGAGTACTCACCACATCCACGGGCATGTTGGACAGTGCTAACACCCTTATGATCTTCAGAAATACATTCCTGTACGCGTAAGTTCAAAAAGAATCAAAAGTTGGATGCTAAGTGAGGCGTGGGGCGCTGATGCCATACTGCCACGCAATCACATATGCGGGGCCGTATGATACGGCGGAGTATTGACCTCCTAAGTACCACCACTACTAGTACCAAAATGGACACAACAGTCGCCAGTTTACCACAGCGTAGGTGCACCGACATCCGTGCTAATAAATCTTGTCGCCCGGGTGAGATGCGTCTGCTGTGAAGAGGACAATACTTGTGATCAGCAACCGGAAGGATCCTACAGGTAGAGAAGACGAGAGTGTGGGGAGTTGTGGTAAGACCCCGCGGGTCAGTTGTTTGACTGAAACTTGATGTCCAACGCCGTCGATGTGTCTCCTCGAGCATACTATGTACCATCCTGCACGGAGCTGCTTCTTTCACCTCATTGTCATGCCCTCTACTGCCGTGTATCGTCCCTTGAGATCTCTTTTCGCAGAAGCTCAACTTGATGCTTCAGCTCCCTCCACAGAATGTAATCATCCAAGTCCTTCTCCTTCTTGCTCCCCTCTCCAATCTCCAGCACCTCCCACCGAGCAAGCAAGTCAGACTCGCCGCCAACATCTGCTGGCTTCCCAGTTGTCTCCTGCCGGGCGATCGCCATCAAAGCACTCACAAAAGCTTCCTGGATATACGCAAAAGAGAAGCCATCAGTAATCTTAGCCGCAGCAGGACAGATTTCATCAGGGAACTCTATCTCTTTGTTGTCCTTGAGCTTATTCTGCCAGTACTGACAGTACTTGACTCTCTGGTCGAAATCGGGGTCTGGGAAGAGATACTTCCTATCAAAGCGGGAAGGACGTTTCGAGATGCCCGGATCAAGGCGCTCGAGGTGGTTTGTGCTGCCGACCATGAGAATGCCCTCGTTCTCCGATAGGCCATCGATAGCGTTGAGGAAGAAGCTGCGGACCTGGTCGGTGACGAGACTGTCGAGGTCCTCAAAGACGAGATAGCAGGGAGCCTCCTGCCTTGCTTTCCTGAAGATGGTCTCGATGCTGTATTCCGGACCGCTGAAACTAGCGAGGGACTTGACGTACAGTGTCGGCACCGGCGGGTCTCGCTCATACAGCGTGTGCATGGTGGCCTTGATTGTTATCGTCTTGCCGTTCCCGGGCGGGCCGTAGAAGATAATGCCTCGTTTCCACGGCACACGGAGACGCTTGTACTGCTCTCTCGAATCGTAGAATCCCGTTACCGTATACTTGAGGTCGTCCTTCATGGCTTCGTCTAGGATCACATCCTCCCACCGCGACTTCATGATGCTTCGGTACAGGTTGGCGTCTTTCTGCCAGTAACCCTGGTTGAACACCCAAATCTCGCCGTGCAGTACCGAGTCGTGGCGTCCGACTGTCGCCACAAGCGTCCGCACTTCCGCCTTGTCCCCTAGGATGTACTGGTTTCGAACATTGGGATATGGTTCGCTGCCGTCGCGGCCGTCAACCAGATACACCAGGAAAGTCATGTTCTTCCATTTGTACTGGTAGGTTTCGAACAAGGCCCTCTCCGCGACGATCCCGTTGCCACCGTCTAACCGCCTAGAAGGCGGGACGAACATTGTCCATTTCAAAGCTTCCGGGTATAAGTGAGGACCTCCTGTCTGGGCTCCATTGTCGAGAGCCTCGATTGTTGCAAGCCCTGTCTCAGCATAGGTCTTGAGGTTGCAGTTATTTTCTGGAACTATGGTTACAGGCACTCCTGGATGGATGCCTTGGATGGTGGCTAATATCTGTGCATCGGTATTGATGCGCGGGGCACTGGCATTGCGGAAAAATGTCCCGGCCACCGAGCCAGCGCCTCGAGTGGCTTGTAAATGGGGAGGTAAAGAATCCATCCGCACAGCGCCGGGAAGGACCAGGAGTAGTATATAAGATGGGCAAAATTCAAAAACTCCAGGAGAAAGTCAGAGCCTGAGGAATCGAGGTACTGTAATGTATGTAGTTGTCGGAATGTTGGGGTTGCTCGGCTAGTATAGCACTCCTGGCCAAGTTCCAGGCACCAGCGTCCAGCTAGTCCATGTTTCGGAGCACTGACATCCTGCGACGATCTCATCCGGGCCAAGATGGCAACTGAAATGATGCTGAGTAATAATGGCCAGGAAATCCTTCTCTACCATGTCGTAAACATCTGATGAGACGACAGATAGCTGGACTACTACAATACCTGGTAATGTTGGGCGAACCCCCGCAGTCCTATCACAGAGAGCTGATAATCTCCTGTGAGACGCCCTCAGCCTTGAGCAAGGCTCTGATCTGATCATCAAGCCAGGACCACGCAGCCTTGCGCCCAGCTGGCCGGTTGGACCAGTATTCTGCCCAAAAGCCCCCTTCCTGCTGCACCTCTTGGAAGGCTTGATCTATAATGCGTTCTAATTGACCTCTGGGCCGAGGCATACCCTCCGCAATCTGATGGATATGGTCGATTACGACACAAGTCAAAAGCCCCAAAGCTCGTATGTCGCGGCCTTCTTGATTGCTTGGCTTGTCCTGGGACATGCTTTCTTCCAGACAATGCCGAGCGATGATCCAAAACGTCCACATTCCCGTTAGCCGAAGAGGATGATACTCTTGCTTGAAGTGGATCGGATTGATGAATCCAACAAACACAGCCGCTTGCAACATAGCTTCTGGAAATCTACCCGCGCCAAGCAGACCATACTGTAGACGTTGGCGCAGTGGCAGCCACGGATAGCGATGAAGCGGCCACGCGGCCGTCTGGGCCAATTGCTTCATAGCCGCTCTGATCTCGCCCAAGTACTCGTATTCGCGTCCTGGGTGTTCTCGCACACGGTGGAGGATTGTCTCGGCTTCGTCCCCTTTCTGTCGAAGGATGGAGATAGACGGCGAAGCCGATGATGCAGACGTGCCCAGGGCAGGCCAGTAATAGCCGTCTTGAGGAGTGTCATCAGGATTTGCGCATAAGTGACACTGGCAGGTGAAGAAGTATCGCTCCGAGAGTTGCTGTTGTCTCCTTTTGCAGGGTACAGTGGTGTCTATGTAGGAAATCGTAATCTCCTCGTCCTTCGCAATATCTCTCAAGGCGTGAACCGATATACTGCCCAATGTGTCTGTCTCCGAGACATCAAAGCGCACATAAGCATTCGGGTCGCATGAGTGGTTTAGCAAAGCCGGCTTGGGGTGAAGAATCACTCCAATCGAATCGAACGTGGCATTGCTCAGCGTGAACGAGTTGACGATCACCTGAAAAGAAAACGTTAGCCTCTACTTACCGAAGCCGAGCGTCGAACCCATCAGTAGGTACTCACCGCGCATGACAGACGAAGAATCAGGTCATCATCTTCATCAGTCCCAGAATAGCCTTTGATTCCTTGCGACATTATCAGGAGGTCCTGCCAGCGCTGTCCTCCCGCATTTGCCAGATCCTGCTGGTGACTTTGCAAAGCCAGCAACTGTTCCCACTCCCCAGGGGGCAAGATGCCCGCCTTGTGCTGTTTCAACAAACGGATCACAGCCCGCACAGTACTAGGCAGGACGCGAGGGTAAAGCCTTGAAAACAGCTTGCATTCCAGACGATGATATTGCGACCATGCCTCAGTCTGGCATTTCTACGCGTCCACATATTAGCCCCAATCATCAAACCATGAGGGCAATCGACCAAAAGCGATATTGCTTACCTGGTCACAGAACTTCGCCACCTTGCAGCGACTGCATGTCTTGAGGCTGTCCTCCTTGCGCTCTGTCATCTGCCATAATCCTTGGCCTCCGGGTTCACGGAAACAGTAGTAACAGTTGGTTGGAAGTTTCGCATTTTCCAACGCCACCAGGAGCGGCCGGGCGACAAATAACAGCTGCGATTCTGCTGCGATGTCGTCGACGGCGAATAGACCGTTGCCACGATCTGCGGTCCGTTTGGTGTAGACCCTTTCATCTTCGACTAGCTGCCACCCGTTCTTGTGCACGGAATTATGCTTCGTCCCAGTCTCTCCCCTTCTAAAATGATATGGTTATCGCTTGGCTTCTGGCCATGCAATAATTTTCACTTACTCTGACTCCCCATTTTGATGAGCGCCTGACATCTCAAGATGGGCTTTGTAGCCTGTCACCGCCGCTTTGTCTTGCAAACTCCGATCCTTGCAGGATTTTTACTATTATCATAACTTCCAAGGTCAAACGGTGGTCGTTTCCCACGCTTGTGGAGTCGTCGGTAGAAAACCGCGCCAAAATCGGTGCAGGCTCTCAGCCAGGATCGAAGACCTCAGTTTACTAGGAGACTTTGGATGTTCTGGTCGACTGGGAAAGGCCCCTCGGGGTGGTAAGTTTTGAACACCTGCGAAGGCAAACCAAGGAGTGCCTCAACTTGAAGGTGATAATTATCGTTGCGCTGCACTGGCAGTGGTCAATCAATTTGTTCACTTCTATTGGCTTTCAGCCAATTACTGCCTGCCGTGGGCCAACACCACACTACGTCGTGAACACCGACATACGCACAGTACTTCAACGGAGGTCATCGACAGGATGTGTTGATAATAACTTAAGATATGCAAGGTTTTGAATGACATTGATTATCATTTCCGTGGTATTGCTCTAGGCCTCTCACTACAATTAAGAAGGCCACCGCCTTCCTAAAGGTTCTCCTATAGAGAGAGTCCCCCCAGACGTCCTAGATGCTCCGCGCGCTCTATTTCCCACTTCAGGAGAAAGTGCCTTACCGTCTCGTCGGCCTCCTTGCATGCGCACAGAGTGACCTAGTAGTGTTGGACAAACCGCCATCATTTGAAACACGAGGTCGCTAAGGTACGGAGTGGGCAGTGTGATGTTGAAGTCAACACGCCAGCATTTCTCCCGCCATACCCTAACATCCGAACCTGAAGCTTCGCTGTTATGCCAATTCTCATACTCCAGTGTTGTGAGAGGACAAATTTCGAGGTGCTTTCTCGCGTGCTCTCCTAGAAGGAGTTCCCCTTCATCGCGAGAGACATGTTGGACGCCGATTCGTCGGTCTTTGTCCAAAAAAGCATGTTCTCTGTAATCTCTTCGTGCGACTTCATATTTGAGAAGACTTTGTCGGGTTTGCAGGCGATGGTGCCAATTATCACTCCAGCAGTCTTGAACTTCCTAAAGTCTCGAGGAAGTCGTCGACGGCACCGGGAGTAGAAGACTAAACGCTGCCACTCTTCACTTGGCCAGTACGTTCTTTACAGTTGTTTTTCAGACAGCGATTCCGTGGCCGCATTCGGCAGTTTGACAACGAAGAGGATGACATTCGACCCATTATCGTCGCGGCGTTTTGCAAAGGAGGCATATCTGACCGCAACTTCCCTCTCGACAGTGAAGTAGTACCCTGATTCTTGACCAAGAAAGTCGGCCGGGGTTAGTGATTGCAGGGTTGTTATGTCTGAGAGGTTCCCATCTTCATCGAGCAGGCCTCGGAGGCGACTTTGACTTATGCCTCTGAAAAGAACCGTGAAATCTGGTGCATTCATTGATGCAACAGAGCATCACTCATGGCAGTATGTGGGGAAATCCCGGGCTTGTTCCTTTGAGAAGCAGGAAATGGACGCTATGCGGACCCAATGGCACCCTGTGAAGCGCCGGCAACAATCTGTGATGGATTTCCAGGCCGTGAAGATGCCCGTTGAATCTCTATGGCTCTCTCTCGAGAGGCCTTTTGGATTTCTTCAAGTCCTTGATACCGCAGTTCCATAGTGTCTCGAACCCAGAAGCGACATGTTTCTGACAAGCGAATGTCCTTGAAAACAGGGTCCATAATCTCTTCTTGGAGACTCGGAAGAATGCCCCAGCTGGTCATACATTCGAACCAAGGTTGGTCTTCTTCGTCATATGTGTCGGTATCGCCTCCCACGTAGCCTTTCGCGTAATCAATGAAGGAGATGGACATTGTGCCAGGCAAGTCGTCGTCTATCTCTCGTACAACAGGGCCGGGAGACCAGTTGATCCATTTCTGCCAAATCCTCTTCGCCGTGTCTTCATCGTAGCCGAGGTATTGTAGTGTGGCAAGAGATATCAGACTGTCAGGAATGGTGGAGAACCGAGCTGTCTCTTCCGCACTGCTCAGAACAGAGACTGGCGTGAGGGGAATGTGGGAGTTAACCTTGTCACTAAACCTGTCGAGGCGTCGCTTATGGACCTTTCGTAACCCCTCGATCGGTGGAGTAAGCAGACCAGACCGTAGGAGGTCTTGCTCATCATCAGGAGAGAATATGGCAGTGTTCGCTGTAGCCGCCGCGTCCATGTTTTCGACGTCTTCGTGATATTTTATAGTTGACGGGACTGCGAGGATTTCGAAAGTGAGGGAGATTTAACATAGGCAAGTGCAGTAGCTCCTGCCTTTTATATCGCTCTCGTAGCGCGGCCTCCAGTGGCACTTGCAATTGAACAGGATTCACCTGGTCCCGTCTCCTGGCAACTACACCGGGACCCGCCAAGCCAACGAAGAAACCTGGTCCGAGTCGGAGAGTTTGGTTATTTGTGGTAGAACCTATTAGCTTTCTGGTCCTCGCCTTAGTATGAGTCAACTGCGGGAGTAAAGAGCCATACACCAACTCCTTGGTGACTGCTGGCTCTTCGAAGTGCGCCTCGTTCTTCTTGTTGTGTTTGTTTTTCTCATTTTTGTTTCCGGAGGCATTTGAATTTAAGTAACAGCCACACATACCTACCTAGGTAGGTATAGGCCTGCGTACGGTGGCATGCTGCCGGCAAGATACCACTGGCAGCTACCTACCGTCCAAGCTCATCGCCTAGTCCGGCACTGGGCTTATTTCTGCTACTGGCAAGTCCGACAAATCGAAACTGGATGAGTCCGCCTGCGATAGATCATCGTGATCGGCTCTGATGCCGGTGGAACTGCTTACCCTATACTATTTGACTGCATTTGAGGTTTTGCAGGGACTTCCACCTCCCTCAGGCTCTGGGATGGACAAGATCACAAGTCGAGACCTGCAAGGCAACTGAGCCGAACCTCAAGAGATAAAAAGTTCCACAGAAGAGGTCTAATAATTATTTGGCAGCGGATTACGGAAGATCTTCTTTTGGTGTGGCGTCCACTAAACTTAGCCCCTACAGCCAATGGTCATGGTTGAAGTAAGAGAACTCCACCCCGCCGCGCCAAACGTGAACTGGACTAAGGCGGCATCCGATTATTTCCAAGAAGTTAACCAGACCCTGGTTCTCCGCCACTGGTCTCCAACGTCTGGAACTTTTTTTCTGGCAAACCCATTTCCGCCTGCGCCTGATATTGTCCGCAGATATCGGCGGACACGGTGACCTTTGACTGTGTGAATCATGGAGACACAGTCGAACAAGCCGCACAGGCCCTCGAAAGAGAAGAAGAAGCCGCAGAGGGGAGAGAAAAATGTCAAAGCCTTTGCAGTCGCCAATCCTGGCCGACTCGCCAAACAGGCAGTCCGGTCCAGCGATATCAAGGAAAAGAGACTGCACGTCCCTCAAGTCGACCGGCTCCCCGAAGAAGCGCCTCCCATTGTTGTCGCCGTGGTTGGACCTCCAGGCGTCGGGAAGACCACCCTCATCAAAAGTCTCATCAAGCGCTATACCAAACAGACCTTGTCTCACCCGACCGGGCCTCTAACCGTGGTTACCTCGAAGCGGCGCCGGCTCACCTTCTTCGAATGTCCCTCCGACTCGCTTGCAGCCATGATCGATGTTGCGAAGATTGCGGATATTGTGTTACTCATGATTGACGGGAACTATGGGTTCGAGATGGAGACGATGGAATTCCTCAACGCCCTGAGTGTGTCCGGTATGCCTGGCAACGTCTTTGGCATCCTTACACATTTGGACTTGTTCAAGAAGCAGAGTACACTACGAATGGCGAAGAAGAGGTTAAAACACAGGTTTTGGTCCGAGCTGTACCAGGGTGCGAAGCTCTTCTACCTTTCCGGCGTCATTAATGGTAGATATCCAGATCGAGAGGTACACAACCTGTCACGCTTCCTCTCGGTCATGAAGAACCCCAGGCCTCTCATCTGGAGAAACAGCCACCCCTATTGCCTGGCAGATCGGTTTCTCGACGTCACACCTCCAACGGAAATCGAAGAGAATGAGAAATGTGATAGGCAGGTCGCGCTGTATGGATATCTCAGAGGCACAAACTTCCCAGCAGAGCAGGCCAGAGTCCACATACCCGGGGTTGGAGATCTCACGGTAAAGGAGATTGAGGCCCTGCCGGACCCTTGTCCTACGCCGTATCTGGATCAAGCCATTGCGAAAGCTACTGGAAAATCGAAGAGACGGAAGTTAGAAGAGAAGCAAAAGGTGTTGTTTGCCCCCATGTCTGATGTCGGTGGAGTGCTGGTGGACAAGGACGCTGTCTATATTGATGTGAAGACAAACACATTCGACCGGGAGGCAGCAGACGCTGAGGACCGAGGCTTGGGAGAGCAACTAGTCATGAATCTGCAGAGTGAACGCAGGTTGCTTGGTGAAGTTGATGCGGGTGTAAGGCTGTTCCAGGGCGGTCGTCAGCTCACCGAAGGAGACAGCACGGAGAATGATATGGGCCGAACTTCCAAGAGAGGCATTCGTTCATTTAAACAGAACGGAGATCTTAGCAGACAGTTGGAAGAGGAAGAGGACGAGGGTTTTGTCAGTGGCGAAGCCGAATCCGAGGATGAAGATGTGGAAGATGACGTTGAAGATTTCCGCGAACATACGGGTCGACCTGGCCTTCTTGAGGAGGAAGACGTCGACGCGAATGCTGAAGATGGCGATCTTGCTTTTGCCGAGAGTGATTCCGATCTGGGGTCGATTTCCGGCGAAGAGGACGGCGGTCAAGATCTCTCTGAGGGGGATTTTGACGAGGACGACGATGATGAGGAGCTGGACGATGGTGCACTTAGATGGAAGGAAAACCTTGCTGAAAGTGCGAAGAAAATGCATTCCAACAAGGTTGCATTTCGTGCGGCGGATCTCGCTAGGTTCATGTACGACCTAACGCTTTCACCTAGGCAAGTCATTTCAAAATGGCGGGGTGAAGAACAGGATCAACCTCCCGATGCCGAGACAGGCGATGACGAAGAGGACGAGGATACATTCTTCAAACGGGCGAAGACTGAACAAGAAGCAGATCTTGAGGACCGCCAAACGCCTATATATGATTACGAGCGCCTAGCCCAGAAATGGGAGGACGAGGAGCACATTCAAACAATCATGCCCCGCTTCACCAGGGCTTCCTTCGCAACAGGGGCGAATGCAGACTCTGATGACGAAGATGGTGAAGAAGACGCTGGCGATGAGAGCGACGAAGGCGATGGCGAGTTCGAAGACCTCGAAGCCACCGCTGCTCCGGAAACCGCTGAAGGGCAAAGCGAATTGACGCTTGAAGAGGAACGGGCAAAGAATGCCAAACGAAAGGAAGAGCTCAGACTACGCTTTGAGGAGGAAGATCGTGAGGGATTTGCCAACGCAAAGAGCGAGATCAAAACAACAGAGCAAGAGTTTGGGGAGGACGAGTGGTACGACGCCCAAAAGGCGATGCTGCAGAAACAGCTTGACATCAACCGCGCCGAATTTGACAGTCTTGACCCGGTGTCGCGAGCCCGAGCGGAAGGATTCAAAGCAGGGACCTATGCGAGAATTGTGTTGGACAAAGTCCCTTACGAGTTCGTCCGGTCATTCAACCCCAAAATGCCTGTCGTCATTGGCGGCCTGGCTCCGACAGAGGATCGGTTTGGATTTGTGCAGGTTCGCATCAAGCGCCACCGATGGCATAAGAAAATCCTCAAAACGAACGATCCGCTCATCTTTTCCCTGGGCTGGCGACGGTTCCAAACGTTACCAATTTATTCCATATCCGACTCTCGAACTCGCAACCGGATGTTGAAGTACACACCGGAACATATGCACTGCTTTGGCACATTCTACGGTCCGCTTGTCGCGCCAAATACGGGTTTCTGCTGTGTTCAATCGTTCTCGAATGCCAACCCGGGCTTCCGGATCGCAGCTACGGGAGTGGTGCTTAATGTCGACGAAACCACGGAAATCGTCAAGAAGCTCAAGTTGACTGGATATCCCTACAAGATCTTCCGCAATACCGCGTTCATTCGAGACATGTTCAGTTCAGCCATTGAAGTGGCCAAATTCGAGGGAGCTGGCATCCGGACGGTGTCTGGAATTCGGGGTCAGATCAAGCGAGCTCTCAGCAAACCGGAAGGACACTTCCGTGCTACATTCGAGGACAAGATTCTCATGTCTGATATCGTATTCCTGCGAGCCTGGTACCCGGTGAAGCCACATCGATTCTACAATCCTGTTACCAACCTGCTAGATGCACCTCCGAGCGGTGCGGCAGCGGAAGGAGCAGACGGCGAAGGGCAACGTCTTGATGATGGCTCTGGTAGCTGGCAGGCGATGCGTCTTACTGGTGCCGTGCGAGCAGCCATGGGTATACCTACACCTCTGGTCAAGGATTCCGCCTACAGCAAAATCGAACGACCCACCCGACATTTCAACCCCCTTCGAGTCCCCAAAGCTCTTGCTGCAGAACTCCCATTCAAGTCGCAGATCACCCAGCAGAAAGCCCGTAAGGCCCCAACATATCTGCAGAAACGAGCCGTGGTGCTCGGCGGGGAGGAGAAGAAGGCCCGGGATTTGATGCAGAAATTGCAGACAATGCGGAACGAAAAGGCCGAGAAGCGGGCTAAGAAGCAGGAGGAAAGGCGCGCAGCTTACCGTAAGAAGGTGGCTGAGAGTCTTGAGAAGAAGCAAGAACGGGAGAAGAGAGAACGAGACGAGTACTGGAGACGCGAAGGACGGAAACGTAAGACTGCCGACGAGGGCGGCGGTGGTGGCGGCGGGAAACGCTCGAAGAGATGAGACAAAAATACTATCATCGCTGGAAGCCATCACAGATTTGAGTGAAGCCGGACTTCTTGTGTGGCATAGACCATGATGTCAGATACCCAGAATCAAATCATGAACACAGCCTTGAACTCTTTGAACGATGTACCTTTAGGAGCAATCAATCGGTATGAGCGCAGGACTTGGGAGTGGAAAACTAAACTGCGCCTAGCACCTACAGTAGGTGCCCAGCGGTACACGGGCTAGGGAGGCTGCCTACCAGGTACCTACCTAACTGGAAATTGGTACCCGGAGGTACCTCTAGGTGCCTGGCAGTACCTCTAGGTGCCTGGCAGTACCCATTGTGTTTGGTGCTTCGCAGTAATACATAATATAATACTGTAGTATCGTTGCGCGGTGCGGGTGATGCGCGTGCTGACCCCGAACCGCAGCAGTGTCTGCGCACCGCGTGTCCGCTTCCAAACTCGCCAAACCCGACGTTTGCTTGATCTGCAGTGCTGCTTGTAGATGCATTGCTTGAGCGACACCACACAACTCACTTCAGACGCGTCCTGTATATGCAGTTGAACTGTCTGCCCATCTCTGGACGCTCCGGGGCACCTCAGACGCGTCGGGCTACGCGTCGGGCGCCGCGCTGCCCGTCAACTTGAACTGTTGCCCCGGGAAGCTCTTCATCCCACGCCTCGCGCTGCAGTTGTGCCAGTGTCGCCCCACCAAATCACCAAATCAGCCGGCGTCGATAGACCAACTCCACTGCCACCGCTACCACCAACACGACCTGTTCACGCGACGAGCGACCGGCCTGCTGCCCTGTTGTCCTGTTCGAGGTCCCGGCTGTTTGCAACTTCCTCCTTGTCCTTTCTCGTCTCCCTACAAACCTCCTCTTATACCTCGACGACGTGCTCCTACACAACTCTTGCTGCGTATTACACGAGGGCATGACCGACATCGCCCAACCCGTGGACGTGATTAGTATGCACTATGCCACCGCGCATGCGTCAACCATGCCGGATCCACCAATGCTGACATCGACCCCGACACCTACACAAACATCTACGTCGACATCTACGGGTGACCCTGACGGCAATGTCCATCATCTACAACATAATGATACTGCGGAAGAAGCCTCATCTCAATCAGATACACATTCACAATCACAGTCTACCTCGACTCGACCAACCGCTCTAAATGTATCCACCAGCGAAGCTTCCAGCACGCAAGAACCCGTAGCGGGACAAGATGGTGATACGACACCGCCTACGTCTGCCATTTCTGCCATATCAAGCCAAGGAGAAACTGGAGATTCAGGGACATCAAGGAAGCTAGAGGACAAACAAGACCTGGGAGACGTGGTCCGAAAGGATGAAGGCCAACAGAGCCAGACGCGAGAACAACCGCGGTCGAGTTCGACTTCTCAGAGTCCCCCGCCAGATTCCGTGTCCGGGACGAAACGCACGGCAAGTGGTCAGATCAAAAGGTCCAGCGTGAACGGCATAGGAGAAGTGATGGCCAAATCAGGCATGGGTACGAGCCACTCTCGGACATCGAGCATGACATCGAACGGGACAAACGCGAATGTTGTAGAGGTATGTATCCGTGTAATGGGGTTGCTGGCACTTAACAAGCACCACCTGCTTTTCCTGTGATATGGGACTAACGATCTCCTAGATCTCCCAACAGTTACGTACCAAGCTGAAATATGCCATGCTCAAAGTCCAGAATGGCTGGCAATCCCGATCGTTGGATGAGGTTGAGTCGCTGGCATCACAATCACCCCGCTCAACAGTATCTGGATTCCAGCAATACAACAACAGCAATGACCCGCAGTCAACCCTGCTCTCGCCCAAGACGGCCATGGCAAGGAAATTGTATCGAAATCACAGCGAAACCAGCGAGAGCGATTCGTCTGACAACACCACAGCAGAAGCTCGCGGCTTGACCAGCCCGGCAGGGAGATCATATGATGCTCCAGCTGCAGGACGGCGTGCCTTGGCCCCGCCAGTCGACATTGTGCCAGGGAGAGGATCAGGCGCAGGCTCGCGGCGAAGACCAACTCCAAATGGATCATACAACCATGGTAATGGTACAATGCGCCCTCCACGACCAATCAACAGCCAAAGAACGCCCAGCCAGAACGCGGCCATGGAAGCCGACGCGGTCGAGACGTTGCTGTTTATGGCCAGCCCCAACAACTCGGGATATAACCCACATGCCAGTGCCTCTCAGGAGTCTTCTTCGGCTTCCTCTCTTCGTCCGGCAGAAGGTCCCCCACCGCCGTCACAGTCACAGCCGCCCTCAAATCTGACATCGCCATTACGCACTCAGTTCAGCCAGACGTCCATTGTGGCATCATCTCCAAAGAGAGTAGCTTTCTCCGGCATAGGATCGGACCATCACCGGCAAACTCTCCACAATGACTACCACCACAGCAGCAGCAGCAGCAAAGCTGCTCTGATTGACCGCATGCTCGATGAATTATCTGATACCAGCGACGACGAGCTGGAACAGGCTTTTCGGCAAGCCGAGAAGAGCAAGCCTGCCGCTACGGTGTTGAGTTGATCTTGAATTTTCTCTTCAGTTACGTTGACCTACCAAATACGGTCTGGCGCGGACGGGGGAGCCTTTTTTTTTAAATCTGGCCGATTCGCCCATGGTTGGGAATTGGGACCAGCACTTATTCCATGGCATTCTATGGCGAATTTCGGAATGGAGTTTAAACAACCCTGAGATCTCGAGTCTGATTCTCTCACTGAGTTGAGGCTGCATTTTCTTCATTGTTCAAACTTTGGATCTCTGCAACCTGAAAAATGTATGCATGGCACTGGCACCGGCAACTTTGAACTGGCATATCTGATATAGCTACCTTACGCCCAAATGAGGCTACGACGGTTAATGATTGTACACACACATTGATTGGCAATTTGGCCAATTTTCATCTTGGATTTCATCTCTCATCACGCTCAATTTCCTGCTATCTGTTACCGTTTGCTTATGCAGTTGACTTATTTGTCAGGCAGCATTTTCAATTTCGTAAATGAGAACCACCATCTTGGGTATAAGATGCTTTCGTTTTCTCGTTGCTCCCTTCGACTCGAGCTAGGCGTGCTGCCCACGCATAACTCCCTAGTAAATCAGGATCGGCTCTGTAAAGAGTATCTCAACCCAAAAATCACGAAGGAATGATCTCATGAGCTCTGTCAGCTTGACCCTGTTTGGTAGAAAAACCGAAATTGTCTTCGCGGTTATGCTTAAGCTAAAGCTTCTGCTAAGCCCCAGCAACGGGCTGGGCAGGCACCAACTTGGCGATCTCGAGGTCCTTGACATCATGTAGACCCATTCTGTCAAAGGCACACTTGGGGTTCCCGCAATTGCCGTTGTTGCCCCAGGGACAGCGGTGGCCGTAAAAGCAGTCCTGGCGACGACACTTGGAGCCCTGGGCGCAGGGGATACTTCTAGCCTTGTAGCGGAGGGTGCTTCTCATGACCGGGTCAATGGGGTCGTGGTCGTAGCGACAGCTGTAGGATTCGCAGTTGTCGCGGAGGTGGTGCTCGTTACACAGCTTGCGGCGGTCGCGGATGCGGTCTTCGAAGCGATCCAGTTCCGCGCTGCTGGGCATTCTTATCTTGAGATCGATCCGTTGGCCCAGCCGGTTGACGGGGATTCCGGATTTGGGGTTGTTAGCGGTCGTCGTTTCGCTAGCACCAGCTCCAGCTCCAGCGTCGTGGAGTTTATTGGATTGAGCTCGTACAGGCAGAGTTGGTATTGGGGCTTGGGTGGTGGTAGTGGTGGGCATGACCTCTGCCGGAGGGGTGGGCGGTTTAGCCGGCTGCTGAGTCGTAAGTGTGGTGTTGCTGGAGACCGGAAGAGGCAAGCCTGGTGGAGACGAGATGGAAGAGTAGGTCGACCTGCTCACACTCGGTGTCAAGTCGGTGCTGGTCTGCTCGGGAGACGAACGGCGTGAGTCGAGAGTTAGGCCGTCGAACCCGGCGGCGTAGGATGGTTCTGCAGCTCTGGCAGTTATGTCTAATGCGGAAGTCTCAAAGACAGTGTCGAACCTGGTGCTTTTGAATGGAAGGCTTGCATAGGCGCGGACCGCCGCGGCCGACTGGGCTGCTTCGACTAGCATGACTTTTGGCATGACAGTAGCATCATGGCGGTACTTGTCCAGCTCGGCAATGTATCCATTATCGTGGCAGCAGGCCAAGTAGATGCGTTGACATTGAGCGTTATAAGCATAGAAGCGAAAGGTGTCTCGTAGTTTAGCGTCCACCCGCTCCTTTCCCGGGCCACAGTCAATAAACTGGAACAAGCTGCGGCTTTGGGTGAAGGAGCAGAAAAAATGGTCGATCTGATATGGAGCGTTAAGGTAGTCGGCAGCTGCAAGGGTTCTTGCCAGACCAGCCTTATTGGCATAGACGTTGACCAGCACGTCACAGTCGGGACTTAGACCTTGCATACCCTCGTCTTGCCTTAAGTTGTTCAGCACCTCGGTGTACAACTCGTTGGCAGCCTTGGATCCTCCGGAACTTGTAACAGCTTGCAAGAATGCCCTGCGGAAAATGTAACCGTCACCATCAACAAGCACGACGACGAATTTGCGTTGAGTCGATGCTTCAGCTTCTTCAGCACGTCTCTTCCAAGTACGTCGAGTGTTACGCTCGTCTTCTAGGTCACTTTTCAAATTGTGACACTCCTTGTTGAGTTCCAGAACGATATTCGTTAGAGACTCGAACTGAAACTGTCGCGCCTGGTCAAACGCGCTAAAATCCTGGAGTCGCTGACGGAGCTCGTGCTCGTTAGGTAGGATTGCCATGACTGCTGTAGTAGTGAATAATATAGCAGAATAATGGGTTAGACGTTGTGGTAAGGAGGAAAGGACAAAGATGGACAGATGTAAGAAGCGTGGGGTTTATGAGGCTACGAGCAGTTTGCCTAGAACGAGAATGAAAGGCCTGAACTCAAGGTCACCAGTCTCAGCGGCTGCAGTTCGCTGGAATCGGATCTCAGCGCTTGAGCAGAACCTCGAGGTTTGACGACCGCGGAGCACAGCCAAGCGAGACAAGGCAGACTGACTAGAAAGGAGGGCAAGAAGGAACAACGATGGGGAAAGAATGGAAGGCAAATGGTCACGACTTTTATCTCATGTCTCGTGTTGGACATGCGTGCCTACGGTGCAGAGAATTCAATTGATCACTCCGTTGCCTTGATTTGGTGGACATTATTTATTGGGCTGCAATGGTCTGGCTGGTGACTAGCATGCATCTCGGAGTCTGGCCAGAAGTGAAGACGCAGTCGCAGCAGCCGTCGTGTACTACTAGTACTAACTGGGATAATTTGGTACAATAATAATAACCTGAAACAGACGGCAGTGCAGTGGTTGGTGACTGGGTTGGCGGCAGTGGCAGTAGCAACAAGACGCAGGCTGGAACGCCCGTCCGAGTCGTAGTTAGGTATCGTTGTCGCCATCGCTAATGTTGGCTTTATCGATAAGCCGATAAGGTAAGCCACCCCCCTGTGCTGAAGCTGGGTGTGTCTACCATCTTTGATGTGATGAAGCCGGCCACGAACTCGAAGCCAGCGTGGAGACACTTCCAAAGTTCGGCCCTTGATTGATGTCTGCTCCACGGCAAAAAAGCATGAGCGTTCATAACTATATTGTACTCCCACGGTGCAAGTCATGGACATATCAGTGATCAAAAAACCCCATTGCTTATATCATCAGCAACTCAGAGCCGAGGTTCAACAGGTCTGATGAGAAACGCAGTGCACAGCACAGCAGTGGCATCATGGAGATCCGGCATCGTCCCGCATAAGGTATATAAACCTTGACTTTGGGACATATCAGTAAGCATCAAGCATCCATTTCATAACCCGTGCGGGATCCAAGGGTACAAGTATATGAACGCTATCCCAGTCTCCTTTATCAACCACGCCTCATCCTTTCACCAGCTAGAGCACAGTCATTTCTCCAAACTCCCTCCTCAATAAGCAAAAATGGTCCAAAACAAAGCCTTCATGTACAAATCCATCCCCGACGGCTGGCCCGTTCCCGACAAAGACCTAACCGTCGAAGACATCGGGTTCGACGAAACCGCACCCCCTCCAAAAGGAGGCTTCGCCACAAAAAATCTCTACGCAACCTACGACCCAAGCCAGCGCGGGCGGATGCGCGACCCCTCAATCAAATCCTACAGTCCAGCCATGACGATTGGCAAACCCGTCGTCAGCGTCCACGTGCTCGCCAAGGTCCTCAAAAGCGACAATCCCAAGATCAAGGAAGGGGATCTGGTCCTGCTCCGAAGCCACTCGACCGAAGAGTACTCTGCAGTACCAGAGTCTGCCGTCTCATCCACCCAGATCATCTCACCGCAACCGGGCGTGCCATTGACAGCATACTTGGGCCTGCTGGGCATGACGGGCATGACGGCCTATGGATCCTTACATGAGATCGGCCAGCCGAAACCCGGTGATGTGATTCTTGTTTCTGCCGCCGCTGGGGCCGTGGGACAGGCCGTGGGACAGATTGCGAAGCAGGAAGGGTTACATGTCATTGGCTCAGTAGGCGACGACCGCAAACTCGACTTCATCACCACCGAGCTCGGCTTCGACGCCGGGTTCAACTACAAAAAAGAAGAAAACCTATCCGAAACCCTGAAGAGACTGGCACCCAACGGCATCGACATTTACTACGACAACGTCGGCGGTCCGTTACTCGATGCCGCTCTGGCCCATCTCAATGATTTCGGCCGCATCGTGGCCTGCGGTACTATTTCGACGTACAACGACTCGAGCAGTTCGGAACGCTATGGCGTCAAGAACTATAGTCATGTCGTGCGCAAGAGGCTCAGATGGCAGGGGTTTATCGTCTACGATCCAAACGTCATTCGGTGGCAGGGTGAACGGGACGAAAAGGTCGCGAGGTGGATTGCAGAGGGGAAAATCAAGTCTGTTGACCATATTACGCAGGGAATGGATAATGCCGTCAAGGGGTTTCTGGGCATGTTGAAGGGTGAGAATCTGGGGAAGAGTATTTTGAAAATAGCGAGCGACGAATAGTAGCCCCCCTCGGCCTGGCTTGCAGCCAGTAGGTAGTTTCGCCTGGGCTTACAATGGTGGAGGCTCTCTTTCGCGCCTGCACAAAATGGAGGCAGTTGGGAAAGGGAGACGAGATCATCTGATCACGAGCTACATAGCGACACTCCTGGCCGTACTTACTGCACCCCACTGCAGTCCAATTCTTACTACGTGGAATAAAAAGTCACAGTCTACTTCAAATCGGAACAGAGAGATGGGTTTTTTGTCTTTTTTTTGGGATCGATCCCTTTTCATGATTCATCTATGGAATCTACTCGTACATAATCTAGCTCGCTGCCTAACCAACCCATCCCGGTCTCGCCCGTCAGCGAAACGCAGGTCGGTAAGTGCACTCTCTGGCCGATTTTTCTCCCGAAGGCGTGTGCTACATGCTAGTAGTAGCAGTAGCAAGCCAGCTGATAGCCCTCTTAGGCGCTTTGAATCTTGACCAGATCCATGAATCCGGAGTCCCACTGGGGGTCAAAAGCCCTAAAGAAGGGACATACCAGTACCTCAAAACCTCCGGTCCCAGACGAGGCGCTCGGAAGGTGGCGGCATATTTTTTTGGTTTTGTGTTGTGCGCATTCCAGTCTTTCAAATCCCATGCCGTTCCATTCTATTCTGGGGTGTGCTCCATTAACTTTTGAGTGTTGCAGAATTAGCAAATTTTTTTTGGTGTTTTTGTTTTTCTGAAGCTGAAGCTCGAAGTAAAGACTTGTTGGGGTGGTGATCATCCAACTCGTACAATAGGGAGTGTTAAGTGAAGGTGGGAGGCCTGGTCTCCAACTCATACAAAAGTTGCTGGTGTCTTGGCGGCAGAGAGCGCAGCCAGCACACAGCACTGTGAAATCAATGCTTTTCGTGGTCAGGGGTGTTAAGCCTGCGAGTTTGCCAAGGTTGAGGTACCGGTGGAAAGATGCCTACCAACAAGCCTGTGGGAGGAAACGTGCGATTGCCAGAAAGACCAAATGCCCTTCCGTTGCCAGGTTGTTGTCAGTAGTGTCGCAATGGTGTCCAAGTCGACAGCCAGAAGGATGTCGAGCGGACAACAGCTCCGAGATAAAAGGTGCGTCAGTATGGGAAACGCCCTGCCTGGCCATGCATGCCACGAAGACAGGTTCGACAAAGCTCTATTCCGCACTCGTTGCAGCCGCGCAGAGGAGCGTTTTGCAGACAACCGTGGCAAGTAAGGTCATCACCGCCAACAGGCGCAGTGTGTCTATGTCGACAGCCGCTGGCAGGTTGTCCGGGCCTACCAACTGCTGCGCGAAAGTCTGGCCAGAGGTGTGCATTTACATCGCCGTGGGTTTCAGCCGGATTGGTGTTCGCATTTTCGAGCTCGACGACAACCATGTCTGCATTTCCGACCTCGCGTTCAACAACAATGCCTGCATTTTCGACCTCGGGTTCAACAACCATGTCTGTATCGTCGACCTCGGTTCCATCCGCCATGTTTGTCTCTGCCGCGTCGGCCTCTTCATCTTCACGATCTTCGTCGGCTGCCCAAGAGTTTGGTACGCATTTGCAGCGGTCATGCTCGTCAAAGAGATTGCCACAAATGTAGCAAAACTCGACACCGCAGACACAATCCATGTGGCCACAGCCTTCAATTCGTTCCACCAACTGCCAGCATGTTGGGCATTGTTTCCACTTCTTCTTGTCCGAAAGAGCCTGCAACGCCTTGGTTGCTGCGTCGACGGGAGGGCATTGACGTTCTGTGGAGGTCCATCGCTGATGTAGCCTCAATTCCTCTCGGCATCGAATACAGGTCGCCGTCGCACATTGTGGGCACAATGCGAGATCGTACTCGGGAAGACGATCAGTTTTTGGGATGTGGACGGAACAGGTGGGCACGGCACAATACACGGGGCGAGCATCGCTGAACTCGGCTTCGACCGCTTTGTAGCGTGCGTTGATGTCGTCAGGCAAGAAAGTGCCCCAGACCGAGATGCGTAAAGGTTGTCCACAGCATTTGGGTGGAAAAGACTCCCTGCTTGTGCAGCCGGCGCGAAATGCAGCTTCGAGACACGGGGTGCAGTAATGGCAGCCACAAGAAATGTTGAGCAGATCTTCGAGGTTGTGGAGTACCAGACATGCCGAACATGCGACAAAGCGGATCTGAGGCTCAGGCCGGGTCATTCTGCGGCGATGACGACCACGGCGTACCCGTGCCGGTGCTTCACGAGTGATGTCAAATAGACCTGGGCCCTCGCCATTCTCACCGACGAGATTGGGATGGTAAATGGACTCAACAACAGGCGAGGACGAACGATCGCGCTGACCGTCTTGGGAGGATGCCATGGTGGTGGAGTCGTTGGTAAGTAGCGATCCAGAGAGCCGATCTGAATGGTTGGAGTTGACCACAGAACCACCGAGTACTTGCAGCGAGCCCTCTTCAATAAGCTCCAAGCTATCACGAGTATGCAACAAGCGAGCCGGGGCAACAGATGGTTGCTGAGCCGGCAGGAATGGTTGGAATGGTTGGCCAACGTTGGTTGGAGTGTGCAAGATATGAGGGTTAGGACCTTCCGGAGTTGCTCGTGGCAGTCTGTTCTGGCCTGCGTGAAGGTCACCTGGGAAAACAAATGGGAAGGGTGGCAGCACTGCGGCTTGCTCTGGAGTGACAGATTCAGTGATGAGAGTTCCGGCTGGGTATGTGCCGATCTCAAAAGGGTGACGAACTTGCTGATGCTGGTTTGTGAGAGTCAGAGCCGGCTGAGCGTGGTCGTTGGCTTGCGCCTCCAGCCGATCTTCGACGGTAGTACTACCAGAAGAGGTGCTTGGAGTCATGGTTTGCAAAGGAGGCCAGCCAAAATCCGAGACCTGCCACTCGGGGAGATGCTGGTGAGCCGCGAGGTCTTGTTGAGTGAGGTTGTGGTTGACTTGATTGCCGGCTTGACCGTCAGCCAGTTTGGCATCACCGTCCGGGTCAACTCGAGGGAGATTCTGTGGCTGAGCCATGTTCTGCGTGTATCAAAGCAGGTTGCTCGAAGAAAGATCTGGATTTCGCTTGAGATCGGGTGGCGGAGTCGAATAGAATGATGGTGGTGGAGAAGAAATCAGGCTGATATTGAGACGGGGGTGAGTTAGGACCAAGCGGGACCACGGGGAACTTCTGGCGCAGACTTACATGCTTGTAGTTGGACAGGCCGAAGGACTGGAAACCGTACGATCGGACAGACAAATGAAGATACAGCGCGGGATGCTGCGTCTGACCCAAGCGCGGGTCGAGTTGTTTGGACAAGTGAGGGTGTATCGGTCTGGATTCAACAGACAATCAACTTGCCAGCGATAGAGCGCCGGCGCTGACGTACAGGAGCGCGACAAAAGTGATAAACAGGAAGGACAAAAGCACATACACCAGGGATGAGACGAAAGGAGTGGGATGAACAGTGATGAGAGAGTTGAAGAGAGTTGAAGAGAGTGGTAGAGAGGTGAGAGAGCAACAAGAAGTGAAGTCGCGGGAAGAAGAGTCGAGTCGACTTAGACAGAAATCCGCATGCACCATCACCATGACGGGTTGTCGCCAACACAGACAGACTGCGCTCCTCACGGGAACAGACTGCGATGCTCTCCATTACCTCGCGTTCTCCTTTTCTTCTTCTGCTTCTTTCATAATGCACCTCTCTGACTTCATAATCTCCCTTGTTGTTTCTCACCTGTTGAGCGGTTCGTTCTGAGGCCATGATTCACATTGCTCACCGCCGTCGGACAATGCCCATGTCTTCACCTACGAATTGCACTCATAGACCACGAACAACACCGTCACCCCGGATTTACAACACCCCCTACGTCAAGTACTGTCATTCTGGGCAGAATCTGGGGAAAGTAGAGAAGGGTTGCTGGATTGCTTACTGGAAAGAGCCACCATGGTTCAGGAAGGAGAGAGATAGACAGGGGGAACAGTAAGCACAAGGCTTGATTCTCTCTTTACGAGGGCGGAAAAGAGCCTCCAACTAGATTACTAGATGGATAGTAACTCCTATCCCAGCTGTCGTGGTATCCTGCTTTTGTACATACACGCTCCAGTCCACCCTTCATGCCATCGTCCTCTATGGGTTGGCCTTGACGAAGTCAATGCCCTTCTGGATGTTCTTCTTGAGATCTGAATTTCTGTGTTAGCTCCGCAATTTCGGCTGAAGTCGCTGGGACACTCACCAGTCAAGCATGCCTCCAACAAGCCTTCCTCGTACTTGTTGATCTTGCCAACCGGGAGGATCTTCTCGGCGCCCTCAGGGCCAAGCTCAACGCGCGAGGCAAAGAACTCGACTCCCTGGTCCTTGTACAGAGGGCTGTCAACGAAAGTAGGCTCGATGACGCCCTTCTCGCCTTGCGATGCCCTCAACAAGCTCTCGGCAAATCTGGCACCGGCAAAAGCCATGGAAAGAGTTGCGGAACCGGCACCATCCTTGGCCTTGACAACCTCATCACCACCAAACTGAATGCGGTTGACCAGAGCATCAAGTTTCTCACCAGAGATGTCTGGGTGACGGGACTGGGAGATCAAGGGGACAATGGTAACGCCGGAGTGTCCACCAACAACGGTAACGTTCTCCTCAGCCGGGTCGGTTCCCTTAATCTCGGAGATGAATCGCGAAGCACGAACAACGTCAAGAGTGGTCACACCAAAGAGACGCTTGGGGTTGTAGACTCCCTTGCTCTTGAAGACCTCAGCGCAGATGGGCACGGTCGAGTTGACCTGGACTCATGTTAACAGCTCATTCTTTTCGTCATCTGAAAGGCTTCTCCTACAGGGTTGGAGATGACCAACAACTTGGCCTCAGGGGCTGCGTCGGCAGCAGCCTTTGCGAGGTCGCGGACGATGCTAGCGTTAGTGTTGAAAAGATCTAAAGCCCATTAGAACTAAGCATTTCTCGTGCCTGGAATGTGGCTTACCGTCACGGGTCATGCCAGGCTTTCTCGGAACACCGGCTGGAATGAGGATGATCTCGCTGCCGGTCAAGCACTCCCGGAGACCAGAAGGAGTTGGGTCGTAGCCCTTGACAGTGCTCTTGGTGTTGATGTGGGACAGATCAGCTGCGACACCTGTACAACAAATCCTGTTATTATCTTTCTGACATGCCTGACGTTACGGACCAACGGACCTGGACCCATGCGGATATCGTAGAGGGCGAGCTGAGACACGCGAGGGTTGAGCTTCATCAACAGCGACAGAGGCTGTCCGATACCACCAGCGGCACCAAGCACAGCAACCTTGGAGGACTATTCAGAGACGGCCGTCAGCTATTGTCTACATGACACAACATCCCAAGATGCAACACACCTGTCGTGCGGAGGCCGAGAACGCTCGGCGCTGGACCTGGCCAAACATCTGTCGGACGAAAGACATGGTGGGCGAAGATAGCGGGACAGAGGGAAGAACTTCACGTCGAGAAAGCCCGAGGATGGAGTGGATGAACAACGAAACTGTGAGAGTGTGAGAGGTGTTGAAGTTGAAGAGAAGCAGCTTGGAAGATGATCGGCTAAAGCTTTCGCCAATGCTCTGCGGTCCTCCACAGCCTGAGCCTGCAGTGAGATGCGTCGGCGACAAACTGCGCTACTTTGTTTGCTCCATTCGAACGCTGCTATATCCGCAATTCCGTAGGCACGTGACTGAACGCGCCCACCGTCCACGTGATCTGGTTGTCACGTGAATGGCATTGTCGCGCCTACTAGTATACCTTCGCCGAACTGCACACACTTTCTTTGAAGTCCCGGCGAACACTCTTATGCCTGTTTGCAACTCTCAGTAACAGCATTTGCTCTCAATATTGAAAGAAAGGCTATCACAAACCCAGTCGGGAACATGCATGTGCAGACTGTCGGTGCCATTTGGGAAATGTCGTTTCCTGGCCTCGAGAGGCTCCATCACCGAGAAACCTCCGGAAGTTCTCTTGCTCCGAAGCCGTTCAACAACTGAAGTTCCGGGCTCTCCGGGGTTCACAGCTATGGTAGGACAGAGAAAGATATCTTGCAGCTTCACCTGCGGTCGCCATAGACATTTACTCTTCACACCTGAAAAACATACTGCATCAAGACCAACCAACTGTGGCTAAAAGCAGGTGCTACGGCATTCACCGTTGACTGAGGAAGTTTCATCCCATGATTCATGCCATAGTTGCTGACGACCCCCACCAGATATACGATGACTATCACTGATAGACGTGTAGCCAGATTCGTAGATCTGGTCAGCTGCATAGCTCCATTTAACATCAAATTTGGACAAGCCACCCGTCAGAAGCTCTTCCTGCCGAGACTCGAGTCCTTCGGCTTTGTCATCAAAAATTGACTGCATGTGCTCAACACGGCCAGCATTTACCAGGGCGGCTTGCAACGGATCCCTCTGTCCCTTCAAATACTCCATTTTGGCAGGCAGCCCGAGCACTGTCTTTGTAAATCTGTGCTTCTCTTCTGAGCAGTCTCTTGGGTGCTTATTTCGACGATATGTGGCCCTGCACCCATCTTCGGGCAACATATTGAGAAGAAAATTTGGACCAGAGCGTGGAGACGGTATCATCGAGCCACTCACCGACTTACTCTTTCGAATCGCAGCTTGAGCTGCTGGACTTTCGCTTCTCGGAAATGTACAAGGTATGTATGCCTTGGTCATTTGCCTGAAGGGATTCTCTGGAGCGTCGCTAGACCATGCTTAACGGTTGCTTCTGTGGTGAGGAAGATGCTAGCCATCGAACCCGTTTCAAGCAAGCGTGCCACGGATCAACAACTACCTTATGGCAGAGCGCTGGTCTACCGAGCCATAATAGTGAGCGACCGGATCCAAGTTAGATGCGCTGGCCTCGTTATTCTAGTGTATGGGGATCCGAGCAGGCCCGTTCCGATCCGGCCCTACCACAAAAACACTTGCAATGACCAAGAGCGCTCAGGAATTCGTCCCGAGCTGTATCAGGGTGCATGAGACATGGGATTGCTGCAGTATCGGCGTGATAGGGTCAACACTTGGACAATTGTACTCATCATTGATCGTCACAGAGAATACTCCATTCGATAGAGTACCGGTCACCGCTCCTCACATGCGCGAACGAACGATGTGGGGGCTTTGAGCTTCCCCTCCATCCTCCACTCAGGGCATAGCCCACATCAAGCAAAGCGTGACATGGGGGTCTGCCGTCTTTGACAGGTGACAGTAGTAGACAACAGACAGCAACTTGAATATTGTTGGCATGTCGGGCACCGCGTTCGCCTCAGAAAACCATAAACCTTCTTTATTTGCCGCCGGCATCAGAAAACCTTTCCCAGTTCCACCCATCACCAACTTCCGCCATCATTGTGACTTTCGCCCGAAACCCTTCCAGCACTTAGGCGCACGTTGGCAAGCATAGTGGAAATGTGGCAGGAAGGTGCTGAAAACCAAGCAACAGTCCAGGAAGATCGAGATGTTTCAGCAGAAGAAGATACCAGTGTAAGAATTGTTTTACTCTAAGCGTCCTTATACAGTCCAGACCGAACGCTCACCATCTATACCACTTGTTTAGAGTCGGTCGGGTGATTCAGATTCAGCTTTCAGCGACGACTCCCAGACAGTATTAAGCACTTCTCTTCGGTCTTCAATATACAATCACCGTTATGAGAACGGCCGCACATACCATGCATTCCGAGACGGGGAATACCCGATTCCGAATGACGAAGAAGAACAAGAACGTCTCGACTTACTGCACCACCTCTTCAAAATGATTCTTGGAGGAGAGTTGTACACGGCCCCTTTGCCGCGGGATCCCCAACGCGTATTGGATGTGGGCACGGGTACAGGTATCTGGGCGATCGAAATGGCTGACCGGTTTCCTATGGCACAAGTAATCGGCACAGATCTATCTCCTATCCAACCAAACTGGGTGCCTCCTAACTTACAATTTTACATCGATGACGCCGAGAGTGAATGGACATTTCATGAGTCTGGCAAGTTTGATTTCATCCATGGACGCGCATTGTGTGGAGGAATCGCCGACTGGCCAAAATTCTATGCACAGGCGTATGACAATCTACAGCCAGGGGGATGGATGGAAATGCAAGATCACGAGTGTTGGCTCAACAGTGACGACGGAGGCATGGAGCGGGCTCCTGCATGTTCAGAGTGGATTCGTGAAGTTGACCGAGCAAGCACCATGTTTGGCAAACGCCTAAACATCGCGCACCAACACCGACAGTGGATGATTGATGCTGGATTCCAGAATGTGTCTGAGATCATCCGGAAGGCAAGCATTTCCCGCAAACAGACCATCACTTATCATTAACATGAACAGATACCCATCGGCCCTTGGGCAAAGGATCCGAAGCTGAAAGAAATCGGGGAGCTTATGAAAATCCAGATGATCCAGTCAGTCCCCTCGTTCATGCTAGCGTACTACACCCGGATCTTGGGCTATAGTGTGGAACACACCCAGGTGACAATGGCCCTGGTGAAGAAGGAATTCCAGGATAAAAGTCTACATTTGTATTTACGCTGGCACTTTGTATGCGGCCAGAAGCCAGAATGAGCGAAGGGCCCGAGATGACGAATAATGCGATGAACGATTCACGACCTCAAGTACGCGAAATTCTAGGCTGCAATTTGCACAGCTATGGGGCGAGATATTGGCCTCAGGTGCCCGAAAGAACAGCTCCACGACCAAGTGGGTATGAGTTTGACCCCCATGGTGATGCGTGGCGCCGGTCTTTCCCTAGCATGCATTAGGCAACGTTCTGGTTGCAACGGTACGGACCCTTTGCGGGTCTGTGTTCACCACGCCGCCCATTTAGGATCCTTATCATTGGTTTGCTGTGATCCCCCGGTGGATTTTACGCAAGCTGGCCCTCTGCGGATGTGCAACGCATTTGCTAGCAGTCCTTAGGGTATGCACGGCCTGCAGCAACGGCAGTAGGGGATATGTTCAGAGACGCGTTGGCAAAGATCTCGATACGAAGAAGGTCGGACGAGGGGCTCCAGCACCGACCTCCTCAACTGATCAAATGATCAGTAATGATCCTCATGCCACGGTTTGAACCCACCCATACGAAAGTACCATGTACTGAGCTTCCAACCTCTACGCACTCAAAATATCTCTGACCTTTTGTCTTATAGAACTCACTGGCAGGTTAGACAACATTCTGAAGTAGGCCAATCATGGCCATCTCAACGGTTTTGAGCTACCCTATCACCAGCCTCCTGGTGGCATATATCACCTATTTGGCTGGCCTTGTGGTGTACCGCCTCTATTTCCACCCCCTAGCAAAATTCCCTGGGCCCAAATATGCAGCGATCAGTCGGTGGCACGAGTTCTACTACGAGGTCGTCAAGAAAGGACAGTTCACGTTCAAAGTGCAGGAGTTGCACCGAAAGTATGGTAGGTTTCCCAGCTGTGAAAGGCATCTCGCGGTCCCAGCAACAACTCGAAATGACAACAACGGTTTCTAACCTTCCGGCCGATCAGGCCCCATCGTTCGCATTGTCCCCGATGAAATACACATCCAGGACTCGCAGTTCTACGACACTCTTTACACCAAAGCCGGTCGGGTGGACAAGTACGACTGGATGGCTGGCCGGTTTGGATGCGACACCTCAGTCTTCACTACTGGGCCCGACGAGCTTCATCGCATTCGCCGAGGGGCATTAAATCCACTCTTTTCGCGGGCTCGCATTCTCGACCTGCAGACCATCATCCGGGCCAAGATTGACACATTGCTCGACCGCATTCGCGAGTTCCAGAGAGAAGATAAAGTGTTGCCCATAAACCGAGCGTTCATGGCTCTGACGGGCGATGTTGTGATGGAATACTGCTTCTCAATCAGCTACGACCACCTCAAGCTACCGAATTTTGAGAAGACCCTGCACGAGCCGTTCATGGCAGCCAGTATCAGTGGACATCTCTCTCTACAGTGCCCGTGGGTGCCAAAGGTCTTGTTTACGCTTCCTGAATCCATCTTGGTCAAGATCGAGCCGCTGTACGCGCTCGTCTTCCGTATGCAAGCGGTACGTATGGCGTTCTAACCCAACCTCATGAATCCCTCCCGTGCATCCCCTGCATGCACCACTTGGAGCATACGGCATAGACGTCCAAATCAATTACAACCAGTTTTCGGTGCATTGAACGAGGCTGATTTCCTACAGGATTTCCGCAAGCAAATCAACGCTATGAAAGAAGGCAAGATGAACGACGTGCTCGCAAAATCGACTCATCCGACCGTGTTCCAAGAACTCATCTCAGGCAACCTGCCCCCATCGGAGAAAGAGACTCGACGCCTCCAAGACGAGGCTCAGCTCGTTGTGGCCGCTGGCGTGACCACCACCGGTTGGGCGCTTTCCGTCGCAACCTTCCATCTACTAAGCAACCGAGATGTGTTGGCCAAATTGAAAGCAGAGCTGAAGAATGCCATCCCCGATCCTTCCGCACCGTTATCGTGGGTCGAACTTGAGAAATTACCCTACTTGACCGGCTGTGTACGTGAAGCGGTCAGGATGTCATATGCCGTCACGACACGAAACCCGCGACTGTTCTCCAAGCCCATCACCTACAAGGACTGGGTGATCCCGCCACGCACGCCTGTCTCCATGACGATTGTGGATGTGAATGACGATGAAGACATTTTCCCCGAGCCCAGGAAATTCCGACCTGAGCGATGGATCGGAAGCCCCAAGGCTCTAGACGGAAGCAGTCTCGAGCGATATTTTGTCGGGTTTGGTAAAGGAACAAGAAGTTGTCTGGGCATAAAGTGAGTATAGTCCCTTCTGCTGCATTAGCTTTCCCCCTTTCGTCATCTCCTTTCACTCGTCCCCTGAAGACTCAGACTCGACACTCGGTTTCTTATTGCCCCGGGACTTTTGTCCTTGCTTTTCTCAAGCCGCAAGATGTTTCGACGTGGGGCATATGGAATGGTTGATCCATTCTTCATACTTCTCACACCTGCTGTCTCCTTTGTTTCAATATTCCAAAATGCCATGTCCTCATTATTCCATCTACGCACCCAACCAGGTAATCAGTCCCATACTGCCACATCTCGCCACTTTCAAGCGGCTGGGCAGCACAGCTTGTTCAGCTGAAAGCCAATCACTCCCTTCATTTCCCCTTCACCTTGATCACTCTTATGTCCCTCTGCCCAACCACTCGTACAACCACACGTCGAATCATACGGCATTATATCACATCATATAACAGCACATCAGTGACCCCATCATATCAAGCTCTCTCTAACTTATCTTGTCCCTTATGTGGAAAACAGTCTCGCCCACGCCGAACTCTACATGACCCTGGCCGCCGTATTCCGCAACTTCGACTTCGAACTCTACGAAACGGACATTTCGGACGTGGAATTGGCGCACGACTTCTTCCTGCCCAGTCCGAAGCTCGACAGCAAAGGGGTCCGGGTCAAGGTTTTGAAGTCGACATAAGTAGGACCAAGTTCTTGAGTTGCGGAGGTACAGTGGTACCGTCATGGGAGTGGACGTCAACTTAGGAGAGTTTGGATACCAAAGCAAAGAGCGTCCGAGACTGAGCTAGTCGTTGCCTTGCCTTGCATTGCGTTCCACCGCATAGGTTTAACTTGATGGATGGTCAATATGCCGATTGGGTGGGACGGCAGCATTCAACGAAGGACCATCCTGCCGGACAGAAATGCGGTCAATGGCAGGTAGATGGGCCTCCTTTCTTTTAAGGATATATCTTCGACCCTGGGTCTAGCGTCTTCAATGCCCTCTATATCGTGTGACGTACCGGTTTGCACTACCTATCTTACTGCACTACAATGGGAACGATGGGTTGAATGAAGTAGACGGATTGGATGCTTCATATCATGCTTCAGACTCACAGCCCAACGACGAATTCTATTCATTTCCATATTCTCGCGTTGACATGACTATTTCCCATTCCTGCAATTCTGCAATTCTATCAGCGGCTCCTCTGCTCTAGACCTGACGGTCAGTCATGTAGATAAGCCCTGGTATATAGCTATATATATGATCAAGCCTTGCCAAACTCACGTCTTTCAACAGTTTCGACTTCTTCCGAGCCAGAGCCAGCATTCTCAACCTCATAGACGGAACCTTCAGCCTTGTAGCCCTTCTCACGAACAACACCACCCTCCGTCTCCCTCAGAGCCCGCTGTGCGATCTTTTCCCTCTCCTCCGGCGAGGCAGTATACCAATGACTAGCGACATGCATCGTATCGCCAAAGACGTCGCCGATCTCTTCAAGGGTGCGACCCTTTGTCTCCGGAAACATAAAGTACATGACAACTATATAAAAGACGCTCGGGACAATCAAAACCAAATAAAACTTCCACCCGATATCGTTCAAGGCCACGGGCGCCGCGACCAACGTCACCTCGCTGGCGAGGTAGAAGGCCGACAGACCCAAGGCGACGCCGTGCGGGCGAAGATGGTTGGGGAAGATTTCGGAAACGTAAACGTACTGCGTGGCGTCTATGAAGAAGCACCAGAACACAATGTACAGCCAGACCATGAAGACGGCGGCCTTGAGGCCGGCTGTGTTGTCCGTTCCTAAGAATGACGCCGTCAATGCGCATAGCAGTATTAGGGCTAGTAAACAGCCACAGGATCCGATGAGCATGAATTTGCGTCGGCCAAATCGGTCAATGTAGAGTGCTGTCCAGGTGTTGCCGATGATGGTCAGGGTCGTCCAGCATGCGTTGAGGAGGAGGGGGGTAGATCCGCCGAGACCTAGGCTTGCGTAGATTAAAACGCCCTGTCATGATAAGTGTTAGTAAGTCCAGGTGATCAGTAAGAGGATGACAGATAGTTGATTCAAGTGATTTGATCTTGTGTAAGGTATTCACTCACGTAATTCGTCATGACGTAGATTCCCAAGAAGGAGTCCCCCCACATGAGAACACAGGCCATGAGTGCCCGTTTGCGGTTGGCCGGGGTGCGGAAGAGTTCGAACCGACGCACGGCCAGGCTGGCGTCCATCTCGTACTGTTGCTCCATGAGCCAGAACTCCTGCCGGGCTTTCACGTCCTCAGTGTCGGCGGGGGTTTTGTGCAACCTCTTGACCACGTCCAATGCTTCTTGTCGTCGTCCCTTGGAGAGCAGCCACCGCGGACTGTACGGCACGATCTTGCTGCCGGCAAGGAGGATGATGGGAAACACCACCTGAAAAGCCAGGGGGAAACGCCAGGCGAATTGGGCCAGTGGGTCCTTAGCTTTCATGTAGAAGCACGCATACCCCAACCATCCGGCAAGGCTGTAGCCCAATGCGTACATGATGCCCGTGACGCAGACCATGGCACCGCGGGTTTCGGGCGTCGAGACCTCGGCCTGATAGATGGGGACCACGCAAGCAAGGATGCCCGCACCCAGTCCGGCAACGAACCTCCCCACGAGGAACATGGCCATGTCGTATGCACCGGCGCAGAGAGCGCCCCCGACAATCAGGATAACGCAACCTACTTGCATGGTTCGCTTCCGGCCGTAGACATCGGCAGACCACGCTTGATAGATGCATCCTGCAATCGCTCCGGCCGAGTTGACGCCGTTCAGAGCGCCGATTATGTTCGTCGTATGGTCATACCCGGGCTGGCCTGATGTGGCGAGATTGAAGTAGGTGTAGAAGTTGGGCTGTCCAACCGTTGACCCGATGATGGCAAGACCGTAGGCCGTGGAGATGGTGCCCAAAGCAACGAACACGACGACCCATAGGTTGTAAGTATTGACAACGATTTTGTTCAGCATCTTGCTGGGAATGAGCACCAAAGCAGAGAGAATGAGACAGAGGAGCTGGGTTGGGAGGAGGGAGAAGAGCTCGTCCGGCGCCGGTCTCGGTGGGCATTGAGGTCTCACATGCTTTATATCCCTAGGTCAACTCTTTGCCCGCCCAGTACTCTACTGACTATTATCTTTAGGACACAGGTACACATTCAGTCATCCCCTCTCCATCTGGAAACCCGAGGTAACCACATATCCGGTGGGGAAAGAAGAGATAGTCAGTCCCTCCGCAGATCCTTGGACGTGTATTGAGCTCCACAACCTCTATCGCACCGCTCGGTTTAGGTATCTCAACATACGAGAGTGAAGATCCGGTGGAGACATGGGGACTGGAGAAGGTCCTGGCGATGAACCGGGGAAATGTGACCTTGGGGCTAAGCAGATAATGCGGGGACTCCATTATTCCAGGGGAGACTGTGCTGAGGTCGGCGATAGTGGCCAGATGCGAATGCAACTCGCAAGGAGTGAGCATTGATAACTCGCATTTTTCGAGTCAGGATAGGTGTCAGGGAGACAGGACAAGCATCGAGTCTGGAGGAGAGTGATGGCCGAAGTGGGCGTTCCCCGACATTCCTCCTCCGCAGCTGACTAACCATTCCAGAATGTAGCATCACGTGCCGTCACATGACTTCAATAGAGCCTTGATGACCCGAAGTCTTTTTGAACCACGTTCTTTATGTTCAGCCTTGTCGAATGGGCCAGCCTTCAGATGGCGAGGCTGCAAGAATGCCGAAACCGCTCTGCAAGCCTTCGGGATGTGAGCAGCCGCACCTCCGGACATTATTGAGCTGTGAGTTGCTAGGCAACGCCATACCAACGAGCAGGGCGGCCAGAATGCACCAAGAATATGTGAGAATATCCATCCCAGGTGAGGCCGTTCAATAGCCCCAGAGACGGTATACTTGAAACAGTCCGCTGTGAGGATGCGGTTGTTGTCACATGCCCAAGCACGCTGCTTCAAGAAAAAAAGGGGGCGGGAGAAATTTCGTGGCCGGGGCACAAGACGGTGTAGCGGTACATCGATGTTCGAGGCGTTCAAGAAGACGTGGTCGTCTGGATCTGGTTTCTTAAGAGCTCTACATTTATGAGGTGATGTGGTTGAGTTGATCGAATGCGTAGGACGGCTGCACTTCACGGTAAGATATCGGCAACGCAGGGTTTCAGTTGAAGGACACTTCCAGGCGGTGAGCGCGTGGGCAACCAAATGCAGCGGAGACATTCCACTCCAGCCAGTGTTCCAGAACGAATATCGATATATGAGCGTGGCCGATAACAACCTCGAGGCCACTGGCAAAAAAGGGGACAATCACTATCCTTCACCTTGCGTTGGGCTAAACCTCACCAACGCCCGGGCAACAGCCACTGCAGCGCCGCACACAACCGCGCTCTCAGTGCTCAAAAACAAATCTCAAACGACCAAAAAAAAACGAAGGAACTGACCACACCAGGATTCGAACCCTCGACCATCAACCAGATCGACAAAAACTTTTTCCACGAACCCCTGTGATATGGGGGTCGTGGGAAGTGAAACCCGGGATCGTTGGGTTTTTTCTTGCCTCGGACGGCTCGTTGATTGGTGTCACTCCGGGTTCGCTGGAGTTTTATTCGCATTGATCGTCGGTATACCGCTGGTTGGCGTCACCCCGGGTTCGCAGGAGTTACGGTCGCGGTTCGATTTCGCCCAGTCGATAGCTGCCACACACCTTTGTTGACCGGCTAGCCGATTAAGCCAAGGTGGCTTGACCTGCACTATCGGTGCTGGGGGTCTTTGCGTTATTGTTAGTGAAATCCGTCGACAATATTAATATGCTTGTGTTTTTTGAAATTGGGTTGCCGCTAGTTCAAGTTGCCGTGGTACCTAGGTAGGTATTCACTGCAGTGACGAGTCTAGATCACATGCCTGCCTCAATCTTTAGCCTCAGCTTCAGGCTTCAGCCAGATCTGGTCGGCTTGCCTACGAGGGCACTGCAGGCCCAGTCCTCAGAACTATTCAGGATGTTGGCACCTGACGCCGGTACGCCTGGGAACCTATATCTTCCTGCTGCATTATGTCCTCTTTACAACTTTACAACTCTTACACCAGCACCAGTACGAGTACCAGTACCCACAACAACGTGCCCTTCTCTTCTGGCACTGCAGAACTTGAAGGTCCTACTGTTTTACTGTTTCTTTTGTCAGGCTCGTTCGTCTGCTGTACTATCGAGGTCTACGACATCATGGCAGGAGTTGGAAACAGAACGCTCCAATCGGCACACTATCCCAACCCTGCAATCTGCCTGCCTGCAATCTAGAGAGTGAGTAGCAAGTATCCTTCTTTCTCCGCGATGGTACCACTACCTCTTCATCTTTTGCCGCCAGAAACACGTCCTTGCTCCAGATAGTCAAGGACCATCAGACTTTATCGAGGAGCGGTGGTTTGACAGTCTCCCCACGACGTTGCTCAGCCATTTGCCTGTGGGCGCTGAAAGGGGGAATATACATATGAATATGAGATGATACAGGCTCTCTGTGTCGGTTTAAATCATAAGTAGATAGATAGCCAAAATGAAACAGGTGGCAATAGACTAGCTACCAGTACTAGAAGACAAACACAGGCTCAATGCTGTATGTAGTTAGTGAGACGTCACACAGGTGATCAATGCAAGATTACGTGGTTTCCAAAAGCCGAAGCCTGAATTAATTGATTGATCTTTCATAGCTTTTTGCATTGATTGCATCCACACCAGTCTAGCACAGATGCACGTCACTATACACGAACCAGATCTAGAGATCCGAATCTGATATTTTCATATTCCCGGCTTGAAGCTAAGGGGCCACCAATCTCAGGAAACCCATGAATGTAGCCGACCTCCAGAAATCCTTACGCCCGACCCTATGGCGCTTTAAAATCGCAACTCCCACCCGATCTGAGGTCCCAATCTGGGCAACTCGTCCGCGACACTCTGAACGTCCTTGTCACCCCGTCCACTGAGACAGATAACCAGAGTTTGATCCTTGCTCATCTTCTTGGCCACTTCCATAGCCCCATAGATTGCATGGCTGGACTCGAGAGCTGGGATGATGCCCTCGGTCTCACTGAGAGTCCTGAACCCGATAAGGGCCTGAGCATCCGTGGCACTGATGAACTGGGCGCGTTGACTATCTTTCCAGTTCGACAGTTCGGGCCCGACACCAGGGTAATCGAGTCCGGCGGAGATGGAATGTGTGTCGGCAATCTGGCCATGTTCGTTCTGCAGAACGTAGGTCCTGACTCCGTGCAACACACCGACCGAACCACCTGACAGCGTGGCCGAGTGTCTGCCGGTGTCGACGCCTTCGCCGGCGGCTTCGACACCGATAAGCTTCACCGACGGGTCGGAGCTGAAGGGGAAAAACATGCCCACAGCGTTGGAACCGCCACCGACACAGGCGATGACAGCATCGGGCAACTTGCCGGTAAGTTCCTTCATTTGTTCCTTTGTTTCTTGTCCAATGACACTCTGGAAGGTGCGGACAATGGTCGGGAACGGATGAGGGCCAATGGCCGAGCCGATGATATAGTGTGTAGTGTCGAGGTCGACGACCCATGCGCGGAGCGCTTCATTGACGGCGTCACGGAGGGTTCGAGATCCAGCCTCGACGGCGACAACTTTTGCGCCGAGAAGCTTCATGCGGAACACGTTCAACGCTTGTCGACGCACATCCTCCGCGCCCATGTAGACTACACACTCCATGCCGAACTTGGCACATACTGTGGCCGTAGCCACGCCATGCTGTCCAGCACCGGTCTCGGCAATGATGCGTGTCTTTCCTAGTCTTTTCGCAACAAGAATCTGACCCAGGGCATTGTTGATCTTGTGGCTTCCAGTATGGTTGAGATCTTCTCGCTTCAGGTAAATCTGAGCACCGCCCACCTTTTCCGTCAAGCGATCTGCCAGGTGAAGCGATGAAGGACGGCTCATGTAAGGGTAGTAGGATCTGAACTCCTTCCAGAATTCAGGGTCGTTCTTAGCTTTGCTGAAGCCCTCCTCGAGCTCAGCCAAGCAGTCCATCAGCGATTCGGGGACATATTGACCACCAAATTGGCCAAACCGGGCCGGGATGGCGTTAGGGTTGGGCTCTGTACCGTTTGTTTCAGAATTGAGAGCATCCAGCTGGTCGGCCAAACCTGGCTCCGACGGCACGTCCGCGTCCGTGATGACCTTATCGACTTGAACTTGATGCCCATTGAGACCATTGGTCGAGGCATTGGGCTCCTTAGCGGCGTTCATGGTCTCAACGATGCCCACCTCTCTGGTGAGGCCGTTTGTCTCGTTGAATTCACCGACTTTTCGGCCAGTGATCTGTGAGCAGTACTCCTGGACTGCTTTTGCGTATTCTCCTTCTTTCGCGTTCCCCAGAACCGTCACAATCTGACTGCCAATGACCACACCTTCAGCAATCTCCGCAACGCTCAAGAAGTGTTCTCTTGTGCTGACACCAAACCCAACGGCAGCGGGCACGCCGCCAGAGTATTGATGTACTCTTTCCAACAACTCTGGAAGTTTGGTGTTCAACGTGCCGGTTGCGCCAGTGACACCCATTCTTGAAACCACGTAAATGAAAGAATCGGCAATCTTGCAGAGCAGCTTCATGCGTTTCTCCGAAGTGGCCGGAGCGATCAACGGGACGTAAGAAAGACCGGCCATTGCACAGTTGTTTCGAAACCTCACCGCCTCCTCCGGGGGCAAGTCCACCATGATGAATCCGTTTACTCCAGCCTCTCTGCAGTCCTTCAACATGCGATCTTCACCATATCGGAGGAGGGGGTTGTAGTAACCCATGAAGAGCACGGGAACTCGTAGGCCTCGTTTCCGAGCCTCTCGAACGAATTCCAGCGCGGTTGAAACTGTGACACCATTCTGGAGAGCGATGGTATTTGATTTTTGAATCGTAGGTCCGTCCGCAATAGGGTCGGTGAAGGGCAAGCCGAGTTCGATGATGTCTGCGACGGCGACAAGTTAGAGACGTCAACATGCTTTACGGAATCGTGTGTTCTTACCAGCACCACCGGCCTGTAGCCCTAGCATAACATCCGGGGTTGACTCCTTGGTGGGATACCCCGCGGTAAAGTAGGTTACCAGGGCCGGTCTGTTCTCCTCTTTACATCGTGCAAAGGTCGCCTTGAGGGCCTCCATATTGGGCGTTGGCTTGGTCTTTGGACGATAGTTGATCCACAAACGAGGGAAGTCAGGGCGATGAATATACCAAGGAAGACAAGACCAAAGGGAATGCAGTGCGACTTTATGGACTGGGAGTATAGGAGAGTACAACTGGGCCCTGAGTCACTCAACACGGCGCATTGATGTCGGGATGGAAAATAAAAGTGGGTGGCGCTCGGCTGCGTTGAGCCCTGCAGCGACTGCTAGTACTGCACTAAAATTCGTCCCAACTGAACCGGCCTAGAACCACCCTAGCAGTGCCACGCTGACTAATCTTGTCACGTGATCCATATCAGCCTCATGTTCTCAGCCTCATGTTCTCAGCCTCATGTTCTCAGCCTCATGTTCTCAGCCTCATGTTCTCAGCCTCATGTTCTCAGCCTCGTCACCAGTGATCCACTCTCTGACAAAAGCATGGCCAACGTTTGACAAATTGGTGCATCTTCAAACAGTATAGTTCCCCTGAGCTACGACAAATTGTTCTGGGATAATTACGGGCAGGGCTGAAGCCCGCCAGCTCAAGATCCGGTCAATCGCAGATGGCTGTTTCGCGTTCGACTTGCTCCAAGACTTGGGTTGGTCTTCAAAGTCTTGCATCGATAAATGGTGGTCCTGGGCCTGAGGTTCTCGTGTTTTCGCCTTTCGGGTCGATCAGTCAACCTTGGGAGTGAGTACAAATCTCCTTCGCCAAGTTGAAGATGGCCCGTTAGCCGGCCAAGGTATTCGGATAGTACATCCCACCTGAAGTAATGTGAACCTCTCGACGCAGTATCAATCGGGGCGCCTAGAGCGTCGAGTAGATTGACCAATTCAAGTGGAGCTTTCCTGGGTTGGACGGAGATTCCCAAGGAGCCTGCCAATTTGAGATGAATAACATATCTCTCATTTGCAGTCTAACCGGGTTGCTTCCTCCAGTCTTCCATGTCCTTCAAAGTGTGGACGTGTATTGGGCTCGGCTTGGTCACTCCGGTCCTCTGGCCATCTTTCCCGCTGAAGTTTGCTTGCTCCTCACTGGGGTCTGATTGCTGATAGGTCAGATCACCCCCTTCCAAGACACTGCCGAGCAACTTCTTTGTCCTTTGGCGCCTCTCATATAGCTCCAGTAATCTGTTGATGCAAGCAGCGATCACGACGAGCATTGAGTTGACAATGGGGCTCCATTGGCCCACAGCGCGATTCGACTCGTTGACAGGCATGTTGTTCGACAGTAACGTGATCTCGTTAACCACAATATTGGCAACCATCAACGGAAGACACAGGGCGTCAACTATGAGGCTTAGACACAAATATGGAATCACGATTGAACACAGGCAGAATTTCTTCCAGTCCCAGTGGATCCGACCGACGTAGCCAAGTAGGGCAAAGTAACCACCATACCAGCGCTCCATCGAGGCGTTGTAGACCGTCTTGGCCATCTCTTCGCGCTGACCAGGATGGATGAGATAAGACAGCACGATCCGTTGGCAAAGCATCGACGGCGTATGGTTCTGGACGTCGATGCTCAAGGCAGCATACGCGGCGAATTGGATGGGCCCAACCAGCACGTATGCCGAGCGTGACTTGGTATTGTCCACCAGACTGCGTGGCACCGCCTGTATCTCCGACTGCTGCCTCATGGGTTTGGACAGGGAAAAGCACTTATAGGTGCAATTGAATTCCGGGCTGATTAACTCCATGGGATACTCCAGGAGCTTCCCCTTTGAGGAGTAGCAGGCGGGCTCCGGCGGGCTGGACTCGGCGTCGAACAGGATGGCACGGCCAATCACCAGGCCTACGCCGACCAAGAATCCCCAAAATATCATGACAATTCTTGCCCTGGAGTCTCGTAGTGTTGAGCTCCAATGGATGATGCCAATGTAGGCCAAAGCACCTGTGCTCAAGACGGCCCAAGCCGCCATGATATCTAAATCGAACACTCCTTGCTTGCTTTTGACCAATGCCATCATGTGAATCGCTGCCGTGCCGGCATATGTTAATGCGCTGACCAGGGCACCGATGACGAGCCATTCCCGCCGTCTACCGAAAATTGCAAAAACGAGTGTGACATAATACAGGAATCGAGGTAGTGGTCCATAGGTCCCGGATATCGGATACACACAGTTAATCTGGCTTACAGAGCCGTAGTTGGTGTCCCAAGGGGTCGCATTGGTCGACATCTTCTCCACAACTGGTGACAAGCCTATCTAGGCTCCATACAAGAAACCTTCGTGCTAATGTCAATACAGGTCGTGGAGGCCGGTTGTGCATTGAGCCTCCGGAGCGTGGAACACATTGGTTCTGGTCGCCGATGCTCTGGCTGGACACAGTAGGCAGTTAACCCGGTGTCCAAGCAGATCAGCGCGTGGGTCAGGAGACAGTTGGGTGACCAAGGTGATGGAGCGAAAATGTTCCGGTGGTAGAGTGGTAGAGACGTGATGAGACTGTGGCTTGGAGTGTTGGTAATTGTATGTTGGTTGATGCTCGCCTTGCACTTTGAAGTTCAGGCTGCCTTTTGGCTAGTATGTACCTTTTATTGGCCCCCTCCGACTCTGCGCTCCCGAATACGCAGAAATTACATCCCGCTCCGCCCATTTGAACCAAACCGCTTCCACCAAGATGAAAATCACATTCTGTCTAGCACTACATGCCGGGTAGACAATGTGTCATTGTATGACAGAGTGGACTCTTTGTGAGGGCGAATGCAAGCCCGAGTTCACCCAAGTACTATTTCTTTCCATTCCGGCCCGGCCTCCAAGGCCCTATGCAGGGCTTCCGTCAATATACGCCCCAGCCCTTCCCGGTAATATATGCCGTCCTTTCTGGAAACCAGCATGACATTATAAACTCCATATTCGCGTCGTGAAAGCATATCTTCAATATCGTCCGGCAATGTACCCTCCCAGATTGCGAGTTCATCGTCTGTGAAATGACTCACTCTGGACATAATCAAAAATTCAAATGGTGCGCCGGCCCGCGGCATCCAATCTACATTGAGATCGATGGTTCCACACCAAAGTCCATTGCGATCCGCGAGTCCTGCGCGGATCAGTCCTGGATCAGCCGGTGCTGGTCTCACCGTGGATAAGGCGCTTGGACCTGTAAGTCGTTTGCGAAGAGGTGAGATGACTGATTTGTGAATGAGCGCAGGGGAAGTGAGCTGGAAGACAGCTGTGACTGTTCGGAAATGCAACAAGGGGAAGCTCGTGCTCAAATTGTGTCGGGAAACTGGTCGTCGATTTTCTGGACGGGGCAAAGGCGGTGGTATTCGCGCATATTCTTGCCGGGGGAAAGGATGAATCCCCACGTCCTGATCAGCATGCCACTCAATCCACGACTGCGCTGGTTCGGTGTACTTCCACTGGACCTCTCCAATCCAACCGGACCATGACCAACTAGGGAATCCTGGCCGGCGATAGAGCCTCTTGGTAGATTCCCAGATCAGGGACGAGTCCATCATCGTTTCCAAAGCACCATAATAGATCTTTGCTCCGATCCGCTTCTCCAGCACAAGCTGGACGCCCTCAAATGCGTTCAATATATCATTCGGGTTAGTGAGTTCACGTCGTGTATACAACTCCACGGCCGAGGTGAACTGAACAAACGGTTTCTCCTTGAATATCCGGGTCGGCATGTCAATCGAGTCGAGAGACCATCCGTTACTTCGAGGCATCTCCATGTCCTCGCAAAAGGTCGTTCGTCGACACTGGTAGTAGATGCGGCCATTCACAAATAGCAAACACCTCCGGGAGAGCATCCTTTCCTGAAAAGTCCAGGCACGGGAATCCCATTGTGAAGTCGAGATGTAATCTAAAGCAGGGAAAGTTAGCACTCAGCACAACTGTGTGGCGTATGACCACGCACCTTCTGCAAGATGCGACACCATAAGCCGCAAGCCAGGTACAACCTCCTCGATCTCTTGGTGGAATTTCCTTGACTCCTTTCTGACTCCTGGTAAGCCTGCATTGGCGTCTTTACCGGACCCAGCTACCACCGTCAGGGCGGCACGTGCATACACCCAGTCATCATGATATTGGAAACCGTCGTCGTGCATGAGGGCCAGGCTGTCAGTCCACAAGAACCTCTCCCCAAGCATCTTAGTAAGTCTGATGGCATCCTTGATCGTTCGTGGAAGCTTCTCCTTTTCCAAAGCTCCCGGTTGTGATAACCTTGGAAGATTCTTCGATGTTGTAAAGAGTTGAGCAAAGTTCTTGCCCCAAAGATAGCTCAAAGCGACGTATCTCGAAGTCTGTGGGGTCTCGACAATACACATCTGTTCCACGTCGACAACACGGAAGACATTCTTCGGCTGGCCGAGCAGGTCCGGGTGCACCAGAGACTCTTCACAATCATTCCCATGTGTTGTCTCACAGTCCCGGATCCACTGACGAATGAGGTCAGGGTCTAGCAGATCGGGCGAGCTGATCCTGCGGCCAAAGAATTCCCGACTTGGAGCATCGTCCGCTAACAGGACTAGGTAACCATCTTTGAAGGCCTGAGGGTCACTGTATATGAGCAGCCGCCGTGTCTTCGGCTGGTAGATGTGTTCTCCGGGCCTGTTAGGGTCCGGCCCCAAGTCTTCTTGACCGTCCACCACCCATTTTGCATAACATACTGGGTCGTCGTCGGCGTGAAGAGAAGGAGTCCGTTGATCGGGAGGACGATCTGCTATTTGCAGGACTAGGCGGCAGAAAGGGCAATGTGTCCGCCTCCGGATCTGGGACAGTCTCCCTAAATATCGAAACTTGTGGGCCTCTTGATATTTGTTGTCGTCCGGCTGGACTAGAAATGATTCCACCTTCAGATCAAGGCGGCTGCAGGTGTCGCACAAGTAGGATTCTGCTGGCACATTCCGGTCATCCTAAACACGAAAGCAATGTCAGCCACAATGTGTATTAGAAGGGAGGCTCGCGCAAGAAGGCTCTCGTACCAATGCTTTCACCCAGCTGGAAGGGAGACGTCCCAGGTGCCGGAACTTTTTGGTTAGATTTTGGATGGCGGCGGTCGAACTGGAACTCGCAACAGGTTCAGAGTCCGACATCTGTATACATTTCGTGGTCAATCAGTACTAAGTACTAAACAAGAACAAGAAATATATCTTACATAGGGAGATAGAGTGCATGTACCGAATGGAATGTGAACGTTGTATCCGTGCTATCTAGCACAGACACAGCCGACAGTGGCAGCGTGGAGGCGATGCAGCCTAAACATGGAGTGCGAGTGGGTGGCTGTTTGAGGCTGAGGTGCTTGAACCGTGGATAGGCCTCGCAGTCATCCCCGCCTAAACAATCGAGTGTTTACACCTTAACCAAGTCGGGCGAGCGATCCAGATCCTGATGGAGATCTGACGGGAGACCAGGACTGGCCCGTCCGCAGCCGCAGCCGCCGCCACAGACATCAGCCATATTATTTACTTGGTTCCGCAGCGTGGGTACAGTAAAATGTACAGTGTTAGGCGTGTTAGGCGTCTGGTGTGTTTTCCTATTCCTCCGAGTCTGCTTCGCTATTAGCAGTTGTAAGCCTGCGATGGCACAAGCGCTATCCACTACCAGATTCTCTCAGCATTGGCATTGCCGTAATTGTTCATTTCTCAAAGCAACGAAGCAGGAGGCATTGGCAGCTGAGGAAGACCCCCGATATCCTTTACGAACCCAGGCCTCTCGTGATACAGGTAGGGACTATTCATTCTTATTTGGATCGATGAATATCCGCGGCCTGCAGCTGCTCGCTCAGGTCGGCGAAGTTCATGGCTGAATTTGCTTTGCCAAGTTCTTGATTGCCTTAGGTCACCTCTGAATTCCTGGCAGCCTGCACTAACATCGACGGCAAAGCGATCCTGTGGCTTCGACCATTGGAGGATATACCATGAAAGCCATACTGAACATTGACTTCTCCCCTGAGTCGAGCACCATCGCAACACATGCTAGGGGCCCAACAGGGAGCTGGATGTTCGACTCTACTACCGACGTAAAACGGGGTTCTGCATTCCATGCTTTCCATCATGAGCCTCGGTAGATGACAGAGGCGGCGAGACCGTTCATCTGCCCGCTGTGATATGACGGCATGGTATCAAGACGACTAACACACTGGCGACTTTCCATCAGCATGGTGAAGAATGCAGGAATTCAACCATCTCCATGACTGCCATGGCATCCACGCGCTATGCATTGTCCTATCTACTGTTTGCACCGTACTGTACTTCCTGTTACCACATGCGGGACAGTTTCTGCTGGTGGATTCTATTTCGTTGTAGTAGCATCATGGCTCTTGATCAGGCGGTGCCCCAACCTCGCCCAAAACTGTGGATTTCGGACGCTCGGCTCGCGTAGGGACCAACGGGACACCAAACGAGCCAATAGCCACAGATAAGGCACGGTTGAACCCTGTCAAACTGGCATTGGACTGGAGAACGGGTGGAGGACTTAACAGCACGTTTCGGCGATTGCGGCAGCCAGATTCAGGTTCCAAGGGATCAGCTGCACTGCCGCGCGGGGGCCTAGGAGAAGCAGGAGACCGCCTTCAAGTTCTTGGCCGATGGGTGACAGTCGATAATGACACTGATAGGATGCGAACTCTGCTAAATGTGCACTTGAGGCGACTTGCATGAGGAAATTCGGTCGAGAAGAACCTGGATGGGGAGAGGCATGAAGTCCAAAATCAGAGGAGTGCATTTCGGCTTGGAAGACATAACTCTTCAGGCTGCGTGACTGGCAACTTCAAGCATGAAACTGAGGTGGTGACGGACCCCCAGCTTAACTCGGCAAGTTGCGTCATTGATTACATGCAGTCTGCTACTAGTAGTAGTGGTGTTAGTCGTAGTGGCACAGGTGGGAGCCAGTGCATGCAAAGTACAAACAGACAAGCGCAGTAGGAGTTGACAGTGGAAGTGGGATGAGGCCATACTACGTAGTGCAGTTGCAGTGGGAGGAGTCAAGTCGAGCGTGGCCCCTGCTGCAGTGCGACACCACCACTGCCTGATAACAAACCCCCCGCCATACTACTACACAACTTGGTCAACTAATTGTGTGATCGATCCCTTCCCGTTATCACCATCTTGTTTGCCCCATTTGATCATTCCCAGACAACCCTCGATCATCCTTTTAAAGTGTGAAAACGCAGTCTCGCCTCGTTCGCGGTCTCTATCCGGCATCTTTGCGTCTATTCAGGCACCAACCGTCATCACCCCACCACTACCACCAGATTCCAGTCTTCAACATGCCTCTGTACAATGTACTGCACTCCTGACCAGTCCTCCGTGCTTGTCAGCCCAACTAAGCTTTACAGGTCACTCTGAAAGAGAACGCCTCGCCCGAGGAACTAAACAAGGCGAAGGAGAAGGCCAAGGCTGATGGCGGCGAGATCAAGCATGAGTTCACTCTGATCAAAGGCTTCACGTATGACTCACACTGCATATGTCTTGATGAATGACCCCATCTGTTATTTGCCAGCAGCTAAACAAGTCTGTTTTCTTCCGGTAGTGTCGAGTTCCCCGAAGACAAGGTCGGCGTGCTCCAGACCAACGAACACATCCACGTCGAGCAAGACGGCGAGGTCAAGACCCAATGAACTGGTCGAAGGGACACAAGGAAATTACGTTGAAGATCATTTCACAATACTGTCTGCTCCCTCCAGGAGACTTGAGCTTGAAATGTTTAGACATGCCATCACGATCGTTGAGGCTGATTGACAACGAACGATGACTGGACGACCATCATGATACTCAGAAGCACGGGGCTGGGGCTCATGGGGCAAGGCATTGCGATTGATTCTACTAGGCTGCCAGCAATGAGAAGAAGAGCTATTAGAGCCAGAGGATACCTAGGATCATGAAGCAATCATTAGACTGTTTTCATTTTCACGCCAGTACGGTGTTTCCTGCTTGTTCATCGCCTGCCATAAACGTCTCATCAGCCCCGGAGACATTGAATCTGCAGCTGTACTTAATGCTTCGGTCGAGACCATGCCCGCCCGACGTTTGTCTAACCAACATGGCATCATATAACACACCATTATATCTCCAATCCATCCTAAAAGAGCCGCTGAGCAGCCAACGCAGTTTGCAGTTGCTCAACGGACCATTCCCCTTATAGACCCTTTCGCCCTCTCGTTCAGATTTGGTGCCGAGTTTTCTCAAAAATCCGTCGTTCTACCATTATACGTCCACTCGCCCGCGGCGCCCCACCTCAACGGCTCATTCTTAGGACCTCCAACCTCACCCGTTTTGGGATTGACATCGCCCTCAAACTCGGGCTCCGCGCCCCTGACCACGTTTGGATGCAACTCCTCGCCTCTCCCTCTTGCCTCAATGGCCCGGTCCAGCATCTCCTTCATTTTCTTCTTGTCGTCGGACACCACGTCGTCATTGTTGGTTGTCCGGATTTTCTGCACTCGAATGTCCACGGTCGACTGCGCCTCCGCGGCTTCGGCCTCCGACAGATCTGGCGACTGGTTTATCCGTGGAGTGGGTGTGCTGCGCGGAGTCGAGAATGCGCCTGTCGATGCGCGCTGGAGCGATTCGAAGATCTTTTGTTCTTCTTCCGGTAGACGTGGTGGCGCGGGTCCGCCGAAGCTGCTGAATGGCGAAGAGGAGGAGTTGTCTGAGCGGAAGCAGGACGTGCTGCTGATGAAGCGAGAGCCGCGAGAAGTTGAACTGAATAAATGTGCTCGTGGCGCGGAGCTGAGATGGCGAAAGCATTGGAGGGAAGATGTGGCGGGCTTCATGGCGGCAATGACCCACGAAGAAAGGTTGACTGGGGGAGAGATAGGATAGCAACGCCCAGAGGGGAGTATGGGTATCCTTTAGTGTCTTCCACAAGCTGTCGCAAGGGAGTCGTACAGTTGTAGTTGATCGAGGACAAACGAATAGTTGTATATCTACGGTATGTAAAGTAATTGAGGCGATGGGCGTATGCGTTATTAATTATTTGGCGTGGCCTTTTCCGATCGGATGTGCACCATGCAACTTGAACTCCAACAGGGAGTTCGGAGACAGTTCGGCAATAATAACGTCGTCAACTACCACCGACAAGGCCCGGTTTTCAGGGGCTTGAGAGGGTATACAGTGGCCAGGTCCCCTTTTATGCCAAAATTGGCACTAAACCATATTAGGCAGGTCGTGAACGGCCTTACAGTATCCTACAGCAAAGGGCGACTACCCGCTCTATAGATACGCTTTCGAGATTTCTAATAGTCTATAGGGCAAACTATTCCTTAGACCTAGAGCCTATTAATGCCTATCAAATAACGGTAGTAGAAGTCCTTCTAGTAGAGTAGGCGCTGCCTGAATATTATGTACTCGTATTTACTGATCGTAAAAGGCTAGTCTGTAATCTATTGGGCCCACTTTTTTGGCATAAAACGAGACCTGGCCATAGTACTACCTCAAGCTTCAGCACCTGAATATTCACTGCACTGCAATCACATTCTCACTGTGGACTTTTCAGGGTCGTTCGCAGATGAAGGACATCGGTGGATGTATCATTGCAGGAATAATAAAGAGTACATACTAGTAGTCTGCATGATGATTTGCTAGACCAATGATTGAAGTAAAGTCTAATTTGAGGATAGGTCGTGACTTTCCTCCTGACACGTCCAACCCAATGCCAGCACAAACACCTCACACCACTCAATGACTCGTCTGGTTGGACTTGGAGCATTGAGGGTTCCCAATGTCAGCCAACCATGCGCCACTGTTGAACTCGGCATAAACCTCGCTAATCTGGCCAGATGGAGTGATGGTGAAAGTGTCGATACCCTTCACCTCGTATTGACCAGATCCTATCCCCTTTCCAACCCAGCGCCAGGCAATCTTGTTGCAAGTGTAGAAGATGTCGAGCGTAGTCACCGTTGGAATTGGTGGCTGCGCTCCCTGACCTGCGAGGAAGGCCGCCTTGCTGGGGAATGTCACGCCGCTGATCTGTTCAACTATTAGTTCACGACGTTCTCAAACAATCGAAGGAAAAGAATGATGCAGACATTTTGGCTGGCCAGGAGATTGATAGAGCCGCTAGTGTCGGTGAAAGAGTCGGCAAGCAGAGCATTAGCCTTGGAGGCAAAATCGGCTGCTTGAGGAGCAGTCAAGAGAGAGGCAAAAGTGTTGACGATCGATGTTGCTTGAGCAGGACTGAGGCATGCAGTATGGGTAGGAGCAGTGTATCCGAGGCAAGAACATGCGCTGCTGTATCGCACAGAGCCACCACAAGCTGAAGCGTATGTTGGCACTGTTGGAGTGGGAATGGGACTCATGAAGGCAGAACAATCGGCCTGTCGAGTAGCCAGCGGTTGTTGTGCTCCAGTGCCCGTGATGGCCCTAAGGAACTGTTAGGGTCTTGAAAGGAATCTGAGTTCCATTCGTACCTTTGCGCAATTATCCGCGTTGCAGACACCGCGAGCCTCGAGGAAAGGGTTGGCATTGGCGAAGGTCAGCGAAGTAGCAAGGGTGAACAACAAAGCTTTCATGGTGGAGGGCATCTTGACGGTTGAAGGTGAGAATGCTTCAAATCAAAGCGTGCAGTTAGAAACTCAACCTTTTTGACAACATGAGAGAGGACGAGCCTGATTGAGGTACACGATTTATATATTCCAAGAACAGCTCCAAAACATTGCAGCGAGGAAGGACGCGCGCTCTCAGAGACACTGCTGAAATCCGCCAGGTTATTCCGCAAATCATCCCAGACAATCTGTCAAAAGTAGACTGGAAAACAGGGGGTCAATGGCTCGAATGGGCAGGATCGTATTTCCAAGGCAGTGGATATGCAATGTTCAATTGCGGACGTGGGACAAGCCGATCCCAAAGGGGAAATATTGTAGAGAAGCCTGGAAAGTCCGTCGGAAGGGGTCAGACATGGAGAAACCCAGCCGAGGAAACACGGTCAGGGCTGAATCAAGCCGAATCGAGACCGCTGCTGATGCCCCAGTTCAGAAGAAGACCAGATCGAGGACACTGCTAGAACTGAAGTGGCTTGAAACAAATCCTTACGCTTCAGCATCAGATTGGGCGAGTTTGCAAGCGATCCGACCAGATCACCACTCGATCATTTCGTACTCCCTTACATGGTCATTCCTGTAGCTTGATGCCTCCTAGCGTAAGGAGATTGCGGTCTCAGAACAGAAACCATGAATAGCTGAACATTCGACAGGGTGCCTAGAATCAGGTAGCCAGAGCTGCAGATGCTGGAAGGTGGAAGAGGGAGGGAGGGAAGAGTGTGTGATCTTTGTCTTTGATCGCTACGAGAATCCGTGAGGCTGCGTGTTAAATCAATCTCCTTCGCCGTAAGCGCTGACGCTCCAGTTTCGGCTGCTCTTCTCCGCTGCCAGTGCCAGTCTTGCAGTGGTCGGTCAACTCCAAGCGTGTGTCTCGCCGAACTCGCAGGTAGTGAGGGGAAAAAAGATACAAGCAAATCTGGAGATAGCAATGGCAATGACTCAGTAATGTATATCTACGTACTCGCTACTCTTTTCAAGTGCTAGAAACTCTTATTTCGTGTCGACGTGATTACCTCGACACAGCAGATCGGTTCTCGGGCAGTTGGTCCTCTTCCATCCGCGCCATGGCCTTCTCCATGAGCAAGCGAGCAGCATGCTCCTGTTTCCAATGGGCCAAGTTGGCGAGCACCTCTTCTCGAACGACTCTTCGAGCGAGACACTACGCCAGTGCTGCTACCGTGCCTACATCTTCTAGCTCCCACCTTTCAAACCAAGCTGGGATCCGACATGAGTCCTCAGTGCCCAACCCAGACCCGTCCGCGGACTCGCCAACTACGGCCTTTCTGAAGCAGACCGCTCCTTACATGGTTCCTACCTACGTCCGGCCGCTTCCCATGTTTGTCAAAGGAGATGGATGTGTTTTGTACGACAATGAGAATAGAGCATACCTCGACTTCACTGCAGGCATAGCGGTCAACTCTCTGGGCCATGCGGATCCCGAGATATGCAGGATCATAGCCCACCAAGCACAGCAGCTGATCCATGCCTCGAATTTGTACCATAACCCCTGGACGCCGACGCTTTCCAAATTGCTGGTGGAAGAGACCAAGAAACAGTCACCCGGCTCACACTTGAGTCAGGTCTTTATTTCCAATTCGGGCTCCGAGGCCAACGAAGCAGCCATAAAGTTTGCCCGGAAGGTGACTTATGCCAAAGACCCAACCACCAAGCAGAGAGACATTGTTTCCTTCCATGGCTCTTTCCACGGTCGTACATACGGATCGCTGTCAGCGACCCCTAACAAGAAGTACCAGCCTCCCTTTGGCCCCATGTTGCCCGGCTTCCACTATGGCACGTTCAACGACGTGGAGGGTGTGCAGGACCTGATCACGGAAAACACTGCTGGTGTCATTGTTGAGCCGATTCAGGGAGAGGGAGGCATCAACGTGGCAACACCAGAATTCCTACAGGCTCTCCGCAAGAGATGCGACGAAGTGGGCGCTGTCTTGATTTTTGATGAAATTCAATGTGGTCTCTCCCGCACAGGGGATCTATGGGCTCACACAGCGTCAGGAGTTCAGCCTGATATCCTGACATCTGCAAAAGCACTTGGAAACGGCATCCCAATCGGTGCGACACTGGTCTCCGGCAAGACGGTCGGCCCCTACATTCAGACAGGAGATCATGGCACGACCTTTGGCGGCAATCCTTTTGCATGCCGAGTCGCCCATCATGTATTTGAGCGTCTGGCCAAACGTAAGCTACAAGAAGAAGTGCGGGTGAAATCCACCTTGTTCTTTAGTGCTTTCGAGACCATGAAGCAGAAGTTCCCTGGTGTTGTCACGGAGATTAGGGGTAAAGGCCTGATTGTCGGTTACCAACTGAGCGACTCAGCCAAAGGCAAGGCATCAGAAGTGATTACAGCTGCACGAGAAAGAGGTTTGCTGGTCATTACGGCCGGCGACGGGGTACTCAGGGTTGTCCCGCCGCTGGTCATCTCGCACGAAGAGATCAACCGAGGCTTGGCCATTCTAGAGGAAGCCATGGATGTTGTTTATAACAAGCCGGCCGAAGTTGATGGGACGCAAGGTCAGCAAGAGATGAGCGGCCGCTGAGCAGCAGCCCGTATTTCAAAGAAGTTAAACAGTCAATTTCAAAAAAGAGGAAAACCAAAGAAAGAATAGCAGGTCTACTCTGTCTGATCTACTCCCGTCCTATCTTGTCTCTCCCAATGGGATCTTCATACCATGCATGCCGCGGTATGCAGGTCGTTCCGGAGGCGACCATTTTCCCGCAAGGATCTTGTCCTCATCAACGAGCTTGAACACCTCCACCTTCAATGGTCTGCAACATTTGATCATTTCTTTTTCGCTATCCCCGCCGAAACCCCACAAGGACAAATCACCTCCCGGGCACGTGGAAAGTGCCATGAGAAGATCCTGTTCCGCAAAGAACTCGATATAATCTCCCGCCTGCGCCGGACACGGGTTCATGAAGTATCTGCCCTGTTCGTCCAGCCCGGTGACTTGGAAGATGTTGATCACATCGTGGACATCGGACTCGTTCAGACCAAAAGGCAGAACGGCTCTAGTTAGGTTGGAATGGCAATGGAAGTCGTACGATGCTTCAGGTCCAGACAGCAAGGTATTGATGTACGGGTCACATCTTGTGCCGAGCAAGTCGTGCACTCGACCGCCCGTGTTGTCGACCCCGTACCATGAGAGGGAGTCGGCGATGATGGTGCACAGCGGCCGCATGTATGGGAGGCAAGACCAGAGACGGTCGTAGGTCGACACGTGTGACGAGTGCAGTTGTTTTGTTCGAGAAGCCCAAAAGCGTTCGCGGGGGTTGTGAGCGTTCCAAATGTTCAAATCGCCTGAAAAAAGAAGTTGTTAGTAGAGTGGTTCTTTAGCACAAAGCATCCATCCCTTTTTGGATCTCCTATTATCGATCGTCCTCCTCTTTTGCATCGCCTTTTCTCTGCTCCCTGTTTCGTCTCGTCTTCCTTTTCTTCAAAGTCCAACTTTTCCACCTCTTGTTTCGCGTCCAGTGAATGCTCCCCCGTCAACCTGACTCGACTGTTTGTTACCGCAAGGTAATTGTCCCATTACGGTATATGCGCATAGCAAGCGAGCTATACCATACAAAAAAAAAAAAGGAAAAAAATATCAAACTGGCCAACTCACCAACCTGCGGTCCCTCCGGCGTACTTATCCTAACCACACTCCTCGCCGGCGCCTTCCACGCCCTTCCCGAGCGAATAGGCAGCGTGAAACTATCGACCAATTCGCGTTGCCCTTGCTTGATCGAATCGTACAGGTCGCGATCGACGGTTAGTGGTGAACGAACACCAGAAATCCCATTCTCACCACTGCTACCAGCGTGACCTCCCGTTGACGTCGTCTGAGTGGTGGTCGTAGTACTTGTTGTAGGACTACTTGTTGCAGGGAGATACGCCGGCGTCGGCGGAGGCAGTGGTTTACGGGCGCGAAGACGGGCTTCTGCTGGTGCTGCTGGTACTGGTGTGGATGATGCCATTCTTGTTGGATTTGCTATAAGAATGCCCGGTGACTGTATAAATGGTTGGATGGATGGATGGATGAATGGGATGACTACTATGTGTATATATATATGGGTCAGGGAAGAAATGAACAAATAATTGGAGAGATCAGCTTTCGACTCGTCTTTGATCACGGTTCAGCACCTACATTGCCTACATACCATACCCATATCTCAACGAACCCACAAGCTCCTTATTGCAATCGTACTGTACAGTTGGTTGTACCAGGGAGATCGGCCGAGTCAGTCTCTAGACGGTCGGACATATCCGAGTCTTTATACGTCTATATCTCGTCGTCTAGATACCGGAAACAAAAACATATTACGTTACTGTACCTAACCCACTCTGCAGCGGAGATATCCTCTGTTTCCAATATGCGGCAAACTTTTTTCTACGCAGTAGGTACTCGGGCACATACTACAAGGTGCAGTGGTAGACTAAGCTATATCTATGATGGTAAGAGGATAGGTAGAGTTAGATAGTACACTTCAGGTATTTTGGGTACCTGTTACCCCACCTACACAGAGGATGGTACAGTCCGTATGCTCGCAGCGCTCTTGGGCCGCATTGTATTGATACACTGTAGCATCACAGTTCAGTTTCATCTCTCCGTCTCAATTCATTTCTTCACCAGTCGCTGGATTGCCAGGCACTGCAGTAGTACAGTAATAGGGATTGTCAATACCTCACAACTTTACAAGTACAACGGTGGTACACAGCACGTCTTCATTCAACCGCATGCTTCTGGCCGGCTTTCTCATTCTCACCACGGTCTTTCCAACATCCATGACAGTAATCCAATTGGCACCATCCGACGAATGGCTGATCCAACGGGATACCTGAATTTCAAGTTTCTCCCTCCAGTAGACAAACACATAAAGATAGAAAAATCGAGTCTCGATACGCTCGTCGCCAGTGCAGACAGGTAGCGCATCACACCTTTGTCCAACATTCACCGCTTTCCCTTCTTCTTCGCAACAACCTTGAACGCAGCGTTACTTTCTTCTCGGGCGTTTGTTGTCGGTGGTCCCTTTTTGGCAACTTCACTCCAACCACCGCCGTTCTTACCGTCTGCTCCACCAGGCAGGGTACCGTTAGCCGCCGGCTCGACAATGCCCTTGTCGGCCAGTTTGCGGCGTCGCACAAATTCTTCGGCAAATCGTCGACCGTCGAGCGTTTGAGAACTGGCATACACCGAATCCGAAATGATTTCAATCTCGGGTGGCAATTGCAGTAAATCTTGCACGAAACTATCGACTACACGGGCAACAACAGTTAGTTTGATCCACGCCACAAATGAAAGAAAAAGGTGTCACACTCACGATTGATGTTACTGTTCAGCCCCTTGCCAAGAGCACCCTTGATCCATTTGGCGAATTCTTCATTTGCCTTGCTTTGGTTCGACACCGTGGTACTCCGAGCAGTTTGAACGGCAGGTCGTGCTTTAGCCGCACTGGCGGCAGAGCTGCTAACGGTACGCGAAGCCGGCTGAGGGGTGGCAACGACGGCGGCAGGAGTCTTGGCCTTACCACCACCCGAACCAACCGTCGTCCAAGCCCCTCCGACCGCAGCTGGTGCTGTAGGTGTGGCTTTGCTGGCCAGCTCGGCATATCGCTTGCCAACAGCTGCTGAGGCCGGACTGCCGGCATTTTGAGCACTGGCAGCCGCAGCCGCAGCGGCGGCACGTTGTTTGCGTGCCTCTTCCTCTTTTTGAATCTGAGCCAATGTCTTCTTGGCCGGCGTGCCAGTCCCGGCGCTGGGTTTGACTGGGGTCTGTTTGGCCCAAACAGACGTAGCTTGAGTTCCCGCGGTCACTGGGGAGGCAGAGCTGCCCCAAGTGGATGTCGACGGAAGACCTGGAACGGGCGCCGCGGTGATATGAGCTTGAGCCAATCTCTCTTGCTCTGCCTGAGCCCGCCGAGCTGCTGCGGCCAATTCTTCTTGTTCGGCGGCACGCTTGGCCTCGGCTTCTTGAATCTCCTTCAATGACGGTCCCTTGGGATGATCTGCGATTCGCTCAGCCCATGGAGCAATGGAAACGGTGGGGGTCTCGACAGGAGTTTGGGTTGCTGATCGCGACTCGGCTTGTAGGGCATCTGCAACATGCTGTCGGTTGCGCTGAGCTGCAGGAGCAGGCAAAGGAGAAATCGACACCGGCGGCGGTTCAACCGGAGTATCCTTCTTCGATCGCGCGCTTTCCTCGGCTGCCGCTTGTTGACTAGCTGCGGCAATCTGCACTTGCTGGGAAAGCGACAAGGGCTCATGCTCTGCCTTAGCCACGGGCGGCGGATGACCAATTGGGCCGGGCGCCTTTTGTGCCGGTGCTGTGGTTGAATGTTCATCGACATGACGTTGAGCGCCAATGGGTTGCGGTCGAGCCTCGTCAGGGCCGAGACGACCAGCCTGGATATCCTCTTGTCCACGAAGTAGGTGGAACTCGTCCAAGCGGTCGTTGCGGCCCTGTGGCCCTAAAAAAGCATCCTGATGACCCCGCATGTCGGACTGCTGCTGCTGCTGTTGCAGCCGAGCTCTGTCCTGAAGCATGGTACCGACGGCCGGAGGAGGGCCGACATCTGCTGGCGAAGGACCTAATGGGGCGCCTGAGAATGGAAGATTGCCTCGCTGACCAAAGTTCATGCGTTCCATCATGGACTGTAGATCATCGTCCCTACCAGCCCTGGCTTCCACGCCAAAGGCCGGGCCTGCAGCGGCCGCTCCTGCCTGACCAAAAGGCAAGCCACTAGCTTGCGGCGGTTGGATCGGGGCCGGCATAGGTGATGGGTGATAACCAGCCGGAGACGTAATGCTGCCAAAGCTCGGTTGGCTTTGTAGCGAGTGAGCGGAGGAGTGATGTTGCAATGAATGCATCCCGCCTTGGATCTGCATGTGTTTCATGGCCATTTGCTGCTGAGCTAGATGCTCCTTCTGTCTCGCCATGAGAAACTGTTCTTCCTGCTTCCGTCTTTCCAGAGCGTTCTGTTGTTCAGCGGTCAAGGTTGTGCCAAAGCTTGGGAAACTGCTGGCAAATGGAGGTTGAGTCGTCCCGCCGGCCATGGAAGTATTCGCCCAGTGGTTTCCTTGTCCCGCACTGGGAGGCCCATGAGGTACCCCGATCTGTGGCACCAAGAACGGTTCGCGTGAGTTGCCAATGCGCCGGACGAGTTGAGCCAAAGGTTCGTACTCAATATCTTCCAGCTTCTTGACCTGCAGATCGGCAGTAAAGAATCCAGCCTTGAACCAGTCGTGCATCTCCAAACCGGAGAAAGGACCTTGAGTGTTGCCTTGGGGATCGCGATAAATCCAGCGCATGCGATCTGGCATGACCATTTGTCGTTGTTGAGCAGCAGGCAGTTGACTAGACGAGTTGCTTCCACTTGACTGACTGAGACCATGTCCCGAGACGTTCTCGGCCCCAGTTGCTCTGGCTGCCGCGGCCTGTGGAGTTGCAAGAGGGTTTGCCGTTGTGGGTGCCGATCCAAACTGACCAGAGGTGCCTTGGTTCCCTGCTTCATCGACATTTCTCAGAGATGGCGACTCATCAGGTTGTCCAAGTCCTCGTCCCAGGCCTTCCGGTCGCCTTCCGGTGTTGTCAAAGGCGTCACGGATAGACTGTTGCTGGGCGCTGTCTGGACGCGACTCGAAAGAGTTCGGCGTCATCTCGTTCCGGCTGTCCCCACGCATCTGTTCTTGCATCGCTGGCGGAAACATTGCACCGAGGCGACTGACACGGCCTGCAGAACCGAAGCCGCCCGATCCAAAGAAACCACCCCCAAGACCTCCCGCACCGGGTGACTGCAAGTCCGAAAGGGGACTGAACAGCGGGTCGCCAAACGCAGAGCTCACTCCTCGATCCAAGGGAGGTTTACCAGAACCCAGTCCAGCGGTCGACCAGGTAGGCATACCGCCCAGCCCACCAAAACCAGACAGACCACCAAATCCGCTGGGACCGCGCATACCAGTTCCAGCTTGTCTGTCTTCAGATCCTGGGAACATGGTGCGGCGACTGGCTCCAAAAGGAGGAAGTCCTGAAGCTTGCGACGTTGAGTCATTGGTATCCCGCTCATCATCTTCAACTCGTCCATGAGGGCTTTGGTACGGGTTGGTGTTGGTCGGGCTCATAGGTTCGAGGGGATTGAATCGTCCTTGAAGGGTGGGCGGAAATTGATCGTCTTGACCAAAGTCCCGCGTGCCAGTATTCGACGGAGGGCCAAAGGCAGAAGCTCCAACTTGCTCCATCCCATGATTGCCAGGTCCACTATCCTGTGCGCCTCCCAGTGCTGCGCTTCCTGTCCGAACCGGCGCATCTTCGTAGGGGTTAGTCTCGCTGCGGCCTGGACGGGTTCTAAAATCATCGCGTAGTCTGGTCGGCGCCGAGCCAGTGTCCTCCTCGGGTAGTTTTTCGAGAGAACCAAAAGTATTCAGATCCTTGACGCTCTGAGAAATGTCCTCCGAGCTGGTCTTTGACAAAAGATCCTTAAAGCGGCTTCCCCGAGCGCTACCAAAACCAAGTCTTTTATCGCTGGGTTCTGTCGAGGCAGGAGAACCGATCGCGAAGCTGCCAAAACTCCCCATAGTACCAAATCCAGACGGCTGTGCACCGGCTGACCATGGTGAGGCAGGTGCGTTCAACCCGGCACTGTACGGACCAGTGCCTGTTCTCCGCAAACCTGGGATGGAAGGCTGCGATTCCGCCTGCTCATCTGCGGCAGAATCCTCTTTTGAACCTGGGGGAGCTTCCTCTTCCTTGTAGTCTGTACGGCGTCGTAACAGTGCGGGTGGAGGAGTGGCAGTGTTTGCAAAGGTCTTGTTCTCTGCCGGCGACATTGGACCACCTGTACTCATGAAGGAATCACTGGTTTCCCTGCGGCGTGTCCCAGGTCTTGCACCACCAGGCGTGCTGCTGTATGCCGACGAAGAGACCTTGCGCCCACCAATCACCCCAACTCCCGTGCCGTCCTTCGGGTTAATCTGCTGCTGTGGTTTTATCGGCGAATTGACGGAAGTCGAGAAGAGCTACCCCAACAAAACGATTAGTCGGGTCAATGCACCACAAATTCCGGGGTCTTGTTTCGCCTCACCTGCTTTTCCTCCTCAGTCATGCTCGTCAGTCCAAACGGCTCCGAGTTAACGTTGTAGTTCCAGCAGACTTCAGGTCCAGGAGCTGGGTCCTTCCCATCCGTACGGGTACCTTGATTTGCGTTCCCATTCTTAGCTTCCAGAGGGTCCCAAGTCCCCTGAAAAACATCTGGCAGATTCCGATCGAGAGCTGAAGACTCCTTGAGGCTTTGATATATGCTCAGCAGTTGGTCTTTGGAGTAGCGGCTTCCGCCCGAAGGAGCATTTCGCGGTTGGGCCGAAGAGCTGTTGTTGGAATTGAGGTGAGGAGGAATATACGCGGCGCCGTTGTTGCCTCCGCTGTCGCGTGCCTGTGATTGTGTTTGCGAAGACGTGGTGGCGGAGGAAGGTCTGCGGAAGGTCTGAGTGGCACCATTGACACGGCGCGACCTGGATCAAGCAGTCAATCAAGAAATTCACCAATATGTCCAACTCGGGTAGCAGTATGATAAGCAGCAGCAGGCAATGTTTGTTCTAGACCAGCACCAAGTGTATGCTGCGAGAGTAGCCTTGGGTTTTGGATGTGCGCGTCGTTTGGGGTGGGATTTTGGTACAAACAACCATACCATTCACTAGAACCGGCATTGTCCCTCCTATTGGCGGTATTATCTCCATTCGTACTCGCCGCAGCGGAAGCAAAGGTAGAAGAGAACGGAGCAGGCATTGTGCAGATGACGAAGAGGTATCTCGGGTCCCAAACGGCGGTCGATCGGACTGTGTGGGCTCGAGGTGAAAAACGGGCGTTTTGAGCGCGTGCTTCGGCGAGGAGGTTAAAGTTGCAGCTGCCTAATGGGCAATTGGATGTTGAAAAACGTTCGAGTCGAGGGTTTCGTGGTAACTTTGCGTCGTAGGTACAAGTTGAGAGTGAATATCTGCGGCTGGGCTGTCGCTGTGGTTAAGAGCAAAGAAAATAATTAACATGCGTGGGAGATGGGAAGGAAACTCGATCTGAGATGCAAGAGCAGCGTAACCTGGTTAGTGTGGTGTGGAGTAGTGCTGTAGGCACGTTAAAAGCACTAGTAGCACTGTCTACCAGGCAATTATTCGTGGTCGCTGCTGCTATTACCGCCGCTGGGCCTCTAAGGAGAATAGGCGCTATTGCGCCTAGGGACCAACCTGTCGACGTAAGGCACCTATTGCTGGTGGCCTGTCGCAAGACACAGCCCTATCCCACAGCGTACCTTGCATTGTACGGCCAGCGTATCCCACCTTGGATTGTAGGTAGCCACGCCGTTCGGCCTAAGGCGCCTACAATGTAGACCGCTAATTCATTCACCAGGCATCCTGCTCAGACCGCTGTTCTGAACAATTACCGTAAATATGAGAGGCAACCCCTGGGTTAGCCTTGGAGCTGCGTTAAGCGCACCACTTAATAAGGCAGTAATGAACAACATCCCCCTAACCCCTACATTTGACAGGCACGTAGGAAACCACAATGCGGCCATAGGGAGATTCTTGAGAAGTTCCTCTCCGTTCCAACTACTACTAGTATTCGACCGTTGCTCCTACATAACTGACGGGCTTGCCACTGTATAAAGTACCAGAGTTTAACAATTCACGCCAGGCCAAAGATTCCACCGACACAGACGAGGCTAGAGGTTGTCTATGGCAGTCGCAGCCTGCCTGTGTTTCGCAAGAAGACTCCTGCACCCACGGCAGCCAAGCTTAGAGCCGTCAATGCCATTGTTGGGTAACTGACTTTGGTCTCTTCTACGACCCGGCCGAGATAAGTCGAGTGTTTCTTGGCCAATCTTTCTGCATCTGTACCGGAAAGGTCGTAGTCGGACCAGTCGACCTGGCTGAGAAGCTGCCAAATAGTCAGCGCTATGTCCTCGTTCTCTTGTGAAATTCTCAGACATACCTTTTGATATTCCACAACATTCCGGCTCCAGTTGTTGGTGATCTTCCCACTCTCATTCTTGTACCAGCTGTTGCAATTGGGATCGGCGAAACTGCTCTTTTCCAGCTCTGACTGAATCTGTTGGTTGAATTCTTGGACTCTCTTCGAGTTCGGCTCGATGACCAGAGTGCCACCGTGTCTCCGCGCCTCTAGCACCTCGTGGATCAGTGCATTGATGTATTTGCTTTGAGCCTCAATCATGAGAATGATGCTGTTGTGGCCGAGGTTGGTGTTAGGCCCATACAGCATGCCAAAGTTGGGCAGGCTCTCTACCGTGACACCGTATAGTGCTTGTCCGCCCTCCTTCCAGATGTCCGAAAGAGTGCGTCCATTGCGCCCAATGATGTTGATGGGATGCATAAATTCCACAGTGCGGAATCCCGTGGCCAGAATAATGAGGTCGTATTCTTCTTCATGGCCATCGGTGACAATGCCCTTCTCAGTGATCCTCTCAATCTTTCCGGTCTCCAGCTTGACATTGTCTCGAAGGAAAACTGGGAAGTAATCGTCCGAGATGATAACTCGTTTACACCCAACTGCGTATTTTGGCTGCAGCTTTTCCCACAGGTCTGGTCTGTTGGAAAGTTGGCGATGCATGTGCTCGATACTTTGCGACTCGATGAATTGTGCCGTCGGGGATGAGTGGTTGAAAACAGCATCAAAGAAGCCTTCCCGGAAATCCATCATGTCGGCTCGCTTTCGCCACCGGACCAATGGAAGATAGCGGTACAAAGATCGCTTCCATTCTGGGATGGGAGCATCGAGTCGGGGGATGACCCAGTTGGGAGTTCTTTGGTGGATGGTGAGATGGGAGACCTCCTTGACGATCTCGGGAATAATCTGTGCGGCGGTCGCTCCATTGCCGATGATTGCAACTTTCTTGCCCCGAAGGTCATAACTCCAGTCCCAGCGAGCGCTGTGCATAAGTTTGCCTCGGAAGTCATCCAGGCCTGGGATGTCTGGCATCTTGGGGACATTCAACTGTCCAACGGCGGAGACCAGGAAATCCGAGGTGATGGTGTATGTGCTCCCAAACTCGGCATCTTTACCTCCTTGCACTGTTACGGTGGTCTTCCACTTCTTCGTCACATCATCCCATTTGGCTGCATCGACCGCGGTGTTGAGGCGGGTGTACCGGTAAAGTTCGTACTTCTGAGCAACGCCCATGAGATATTCCAGGATCTCTTCTTGACCAGGGTATTCCCGTGTCCAGTCGGGATTCTGCTCGAATGAAAAGCTGTATAGATGCGACCAGACTATTTCGAGATGTTAAGGGCCATGATCTGTGTACGTGCATAGTATGTCTCACCGTCACAACAGCATCCAGGATATTTGTTGTCCCTCCAGGTGCCCCCGAGCCCTCCACTCTTTTCAATGATGATGAAATTCTTGCAGTTGTTTCTCTTGATCAGATCGATGGCGGTACACATGCCTGAGATGCCACCTCCAATGATGACTACAGCGGCCTCTGTGTGGCTTTTGTTGCTCACAGGCACCTGCGGCCACGGCTTATCACCAGCCATGATTGCACAGTAGGATTGTAGATAATGAAACCCGAGTTTATGCCAACCAACAGGCAGGGATTGATACCAGTGCGCGATATCAGCAACAGGAGAATGGAGGACACCGGGGGCAGCGTGTCGATTTATGAAGGCCGAGTGGTGCGAACAGTCGAACGAGTTGCTGGCGACACGACCGGTTAATCCGAGGTAGTTTTGCGAGAGATACTAGTATGGCCGGCTCCATGGACCCCAGACTGTGGTCGCTCAATGCAGGACAGGTGGAGGTAGCGGTCGACTCAAAGCCAATCAGACCGAGTGAGAAATGCCGGGGGGTGCGGGGAGGGGATTGTGTTTGGGCCAAAGCCCCGAGCCACAGGAGACAATCCCAGTCCTCTCCTGATGGTGTTATGACTCGCCATTTCTGACTCCCTGGCAGGAAATCCCCCCTAGGCCATAGCCGGCGGAACTGTGTCGATGCACCACGACACGACTATCCCAGCGCCTGCATATTTCGAGATCCATGGGCGGAAGCCGTTGACTCTGGATGCGCTACTGACGCATCTCTCTGTCAATAAAGATGATTACCAATCCCCACCAGCGTAAATGCTGGAGAATAGTCCTCTCGCTGCCGTGACATATTGGGATGGGCGGTCGTCTGCAAATATTGTGGAATGACGACTATCGGTGATGGCATGTGCTTCGAGGGCGGGGTTCAAGACTCTTCTGCTGCGCCATCCGCACTTGAATTCGCACCTGCGACGAGCTTGGGAGCAGTCTGATAAGCCCTGACGAGTCAGCGGAACCGCCTTCATGACGAGGCAGAAACCGTGTTTGGGCAGACGCGTTCTTTGGCAGCTCGTTCCTCATCAGCGGCAGCTCGGTCATCATCTTAGATAATGAATGACCAAGAAGCAAAAGAGGAAGAAAACGACGACGCCACCCCAGAAGATGCATTTGTCTTGCATGGCTCTCCTTTCGACCATGCGGATAGTATCACCACTGACACCGAGGGTGTTGGCGACACTGTACAACCGCCTCTGTGTGCCCTTGAGGATCTCTCGCTGTTGACTCAAGTCACCGAGCACTGCTCGGCCACGATCGAGGAACTCGTCGAGCTGGGCATTGGCGGTGCTGAAGAAATTCTGTTCGCGCAACGCATGTTCCTCTCTCGCGTAGGCGTTGGGACCCGCGCCAAAGGACAGCCCGTCCTGGGTATTGCGGTGTGCCGGTGCAAACGCCGACTGACCGGCGCTGGTAACCTGGGCGTATGGGTTCTCGGGTGTTGCAGCATGATGCGGTCGTCTTCCCAGTAGTTCGTTCCTGTTGTTGGCCGCGACGGCGGCTTCACGCTCCTTTTTCAACTGATCAAACTGGGTTCGATAAGAGGCCAAGTCGGCCCGAAAGTTTTTTAATCGTTCGATTGCTTTGTCCTTCTTTTCCTGATTCAGCTCGTTTCGTGATAGATTCTGGTAATCGTCGAGCGTGCGTGCGAGACTCGTCAGCGTGGTAGAGATTTGTCCTTGGAGGGCAGGAGACGCTGTGGCCGGCGCCTGCGCGAACGTCTCCAGATCACGACGAACGGCCGTTGATTGCTTCAACGCCGAATTGAAGAGCACATTCTAACCACCTTGTGTCAGCACCCATCCGACAGCATGTTTGTGGAGACTAGGACAACAACGTACCATCTTGGGCCGGGTTCATAAGATTTTGATGGTTGAGGTAGTAGAGAGCTAAGCACGAGGTTTATCATAAAATGAAGAAAATGGATACGGAGACCATGCTTCTTGTTTCCTTTTCTTAAAGAACGCAACGAAAGTACAGTTGTCCCTTTCCAGGGAATTGTTGTGTGTTCCGCCCCCTTGCCCGTAGTAAGTCGGGCCCCGGTGTAAAAGCGCCGACTGCCACTGCAGGTGCACGCGGCGTACGTGTGTGCCCGTATACTACAAATAATAATTGAGCCCTTGAAAATACATCCGAGCTTCAACACCATCCGCAAATACCTCCGTTCTCGATGCGAGAAGTACCCAAATCATGACAGTGGTGTAACGATGCACGGTCTGATTGCATCATTGGAAGGCCCTTCATGGACAATACCTGTTTTTCTCCGTGGATCTACCGGTCTGCACATCTAGGACTCATCTAGCATCCTAGTACTGATAGTATCGGCCTCAGGCAGCATCCAGTATATTTTATATCCAAGCCGTACCTTAGCATACGTAGAATGTGCTTGACCAACAGCTGCTGGCTGGATAAATACCACCCTATCGCTACCACTACGGGTTGAGGGGTTTGCCCAAGTACACAGAGCGATAAATGCAGTCGCAGAGACACAAGTGAAGACCTCCGAGTCTGTTTGAGCCACGGTCATCGACTGTAGGTCAGCAATCACGGCTTCTCTTCGCCATTGCTTCCACCGTCGCTGCCACACTCCTTCTGTTGCCGTGTAGTCCTCTCTGACGGCCAGATATCAACCGGAAGAACAAGCTTTTCCTCCCTTCGCCACCAGGAAGAAGGCCTCTGAAAGGTGTTGATTTCACCACTGCAGCACGACACTGCGTCAACAACTTCCATTACCAGGCCACGCATCCCTTCCTCTCCTCCAACCACCTATGACTCGACCGACCGCACCAGTCAAACGCAGTCTGCCAGAACGGCCAACTGGTACCATCCACGCCAAACACTCATCATGGCCTCCCTCTTCTGGAACAGCTGCGAGTTGATACTGGAAAACCGTACAATCCTGTACCTTATGATCCTTTGCAATCCGATCCTGATCCTCCATTTGATAAACGGATTGCTCAGCTTCTTGCGACCCAGCGTCTTGTCTGACCCCGCCTTCGACACCTGGATTGAGCCGCATCTGGATATGCACGCTCACGACGAGGCCTGCAAAGTCTTCACGATCCTTGTGGTCATGCTCCAACTGGTGCTTTATCGCAAGGAGCTATTGAACGAAAAAAGAGATGACGGTGGAGGATAGGGCCGCTCCTGAAAAGAGACAAAGACCGACATGCTGCAAGAGAGTACACTTATTGACTAAACGGCGAAATTTTCCAGGCGGTGGGCTTCAAGGAGTAATCGGTGTTTTGGCAGGCGAAACTTGAGCTTGAGGAGGGAACAGAAGACATGTGCGAACAAAAACCACGGGATATCATGTTTGAGAGCAAAATGGAATACGGATCCCAGCAGTACGCCGTAATCCGCCCCGTCAACCGAGCTGAGAGTTCAAGGAGATACACAAGACCATTCCAGCAATAAACCTGATCACACAGTACTCATCCACGCCTATTTAGGCGGATACTTGTTCTCCAAGAGCCACCTGTATGCGCATTAGTCTTTGTGGGCAGTAGTAGGCCAATCAGGGATGTCCTTACTTGCTGCCGAAATAATCGGCCACAGCGAAAGCACCAACACATCCTGCCACGGTGCTGGCAAGCTTCCAGTCCAATTTGCCTTCGGTGTGTTTCTGATATGCTCCGTAGCCGATGGCGACAGTCGCAATTCCCCAGATGAGCGCGTTTCCAACGACAACAGGATTGTCTCTGTTCTCGCTCAATTTGTGACCATCCTTCTTCAGAGTGTCCTTCACTTGCTTGCCCTTTGCAGAGGCCTTCTTCTTAGCGCTTTCCGCAGCGTTTTCAGCCGCGGCGGCTGCTTTTTGGGCTTCGGCACGAGCCTTGTCCTCTTCTTCATGCTCGACTCGCTCGGCCTGGGTATCCGTCTTGATCTCCTGTTCCGGAAAATCGGACTTGACAGAAGTAACATGCGGCGAATCGACGTCGATCAAGCTTGCCGACTCGGATTCAGAGTGTGGGAGCGATGGTACGGGGGGTGCGCGACTAAACAAGTAGAGTCAGCAGGCGAAGAGCGCATACATCCCTCGAAGATCGTCGTCCGACTTACGCCTGCGGGCTGTCAGTAAAAGTTTCAAGGGAAGAAATGGGGGAACGTCAACCAACCTCTTCAGGACTCTGCTTGGGGCCCTTGGCAGCAACTTCGGCGTAGCTCATCTTGTGTATTTGATGTGAGAGTGAAGGTGGCTCTCAACAAGTGAACGGATTAGAGAAAGAGGCGGGGTATATAAAGTAGTAGCGACGAACTCGAATGTAAGCGATGGTAGAGAATGGTAGAGGAGCTTTGATGTTGGAAGAAGTAGAACTTGAGGCACTAGCAGTCCTCCTGGGAAGTTGCTCGTTGACCGTATGACGACTGTGGATGCGAATTGGCGCAAGTCCTGGAACCAACAACGTCGGAGCCTGACCTGCCGCCCAATATTGGGCATCTCACGTGATGGCCTCATCAAAAGATCACATGCTTCACATCTTCTTTTCCATTACAGGCACGTGACCAGTTCTGGCTTCGTTCGATATCTGTTCCCAAATCGAGCCAAACTACGGCCTGGGCAGCGGACGCTCGTGAATTATCAGGAAGGATGATACGGGATACTGATTGAGTATGATGTGATACTACAAATGTAGCTCTAATCGTCTTTTTAGCTGCTGCAAGAGCGATGCTCTGTATAAGCCACGCTTCGAGCATGTGAAGGACGTATCTCATGCGCCTCGGTAGCCTGTGGTATTCTCGCTGGCCATTCTGTCCCTTCAAGGTAGAGGCAATCCGGGGATTGAGAGCTCCGATGTCGTCTGTGGTCCGGCATTCCCCTTAGAAGTGCCGTCCACATTGGCATCCTTCAGCGTGTTGACGTCGCCCACAATGGTGTGAGGCATGCCTTCGCTCACGCTGTCGTGGTGTTTCGCGGTCGATCCTTTCGGGCGCCACGTGCTCACAGCGGGGATGTCGGCTTTGAAGCGTTCGACTTCGGTACCATATGCCTTCGGCGTCAATTTCATTAGCGTGTGAAGTGGCACTTCCATCCACGGCGATTTCTCTTGTGGGATCTCCATAAAGTACGCGAAAATGCAGCGGACAATGGCTTGATGACTAAACGATTGACCCAGTCAGTATGATACTCATAGCGGAGGCGGAGGCGGTTGGTGGAAAAAAGACGAGAAAGACATCCGCAAACATTACGGGGCTGTCACTGTGTAGCCGAGGTGTCGGTATGGATAGACACGTACGTGATGATAATGATGTTCTCGCTGCGTTCCAGTTCCATAATGATTGGTTCCAGACGGATGACAACGTCGCGGTAAGATTCACCTCCTCGGTATCGGTAGTTGTACTTATCATCGTCGCGTGCTTGAAAGTCTTCGGGGAACTTCTCCGATATCTCTTTGTACTACATTGAGTCAGTGACAGCTGGGACCCGGAACTGACGGAATGCGAGAAACAACAAGACAGCAGCAAGTGCTGTGGATGGACGCTTAAGGAGGCGACGTACTGTCATCCCATCACAGACACCACTGTCGAGCTCGTCTAGTGCCTTCCACTGTAGCTTCTCCCAACCAAGTTCCTGTTGAAGATACTTTGCTGTTTGGCTCGTGCGGCGCAGCGTCGAGGTCCAGATAGTGAGCGGGGCGTCCTTAGGAAGTCCGGAGCGCCTGACCAGGTCTGGCAGCATCTTCGCATACCGCTGACCGCGCTCCGAAAGGTTCGCGTCACCCCCAATTTTGCCCTCGAGATTATATTCAGATTCACCGTGCTAAGCCGGAGAGCGAAGTTAGTGAGTGTCTCCAGAGTGACGTAATAAGGGTAGCCGTACCCTAGAGAGCCATATGCTCCGTGGCTTGATGTGTAGGTTGGTAAGATAATAAACGAGGCGGGACTGGAGATAATCTTGGATGAGGTTGATCACGACTCGTTCTCTGTGTCAAGGGTCAGTACGCGCCGAACCCCTCCCTGTACATAAACCAACCCGATGTTGATGATCTTGACGTAGGTCAGATGTTTTTCAGACTCATCAATGGTCTGGTACACCTTTTCATAATTTCGTATCCGATCTCGGAAGTCTCTAGCTGCTTCCTCAGGGTCTTGTCTGCGAAATTGTTAGCGATGATTGAGGATACTAGGTATAAACATGGGCCAGCCTGTACCCAACATAGTCAGGGGACGAAGTCTTGACCTCGAGGATGTTTGACATGATGAGATCCTCATTGTCGCATTTGCTCTCCACAAATATATCTTGTGTAGCAGTTAGTGCCCGATATTACACGAGAAAACCGGATCACATACGGAGGAGGTTCGCTTCCATAATCTTGTCATGAATCCATTTTCGACGCGATTTCGTTGAGTTGGTAGCATCCAAGATGGCCACTTTGTTTTCTTTGTCCTTGAACCATTCGAGCATGTCGTTGACGGCCGCTTCAGCTGCTGCCTTTCGAGCCTTTTCTCCCTCAGGGTTGTTAACATCGAAGAATTTGGCGTCCGGATGCGGGTTATCCGTCCGCCTATAATTGCCCACGTTGAAAACCTCGGCCTTGACCGACGTCCATTTCAGGTAACGCTTGACTGCCATTCCAGGTTAACGATGGGAGAATGTCTATTCGGCTCCTTGACAACATACCCTTTCCGGATATGAAACTCTTGCCACGAGCGGGCAGGCCGACCATGACCACAACGATCTGTGTGACATCTGACTTTTGAATAGGTCAGTATGTGGAAAGCCAGGAAGTAACGAGAGCACGTATAGCGCCGACAGAGACAGAAAGACAATTGCATACGCGGTCGCTGTCCGGAAGACACATCCCCATGGTTCCGATTTGCTAAAAGCCCTTCCTCGTTTTGAAGGTTCACAACGCCCCGGTGAATGTGGTTCAACGGCCAGGAAGAAACAGACAGAAGGAGAAACAGTGCTCCTTTATATGCAAAATCGACTGCTTCTGGGATGCCGATCATGCAGTGGGCATAGATTGCCTCAATGGATATGCTCAGGCAGACTTTCGTCTCGAAGCATTCCCAGGGCGCCGACGAGATGCAAACCGAGAGCCAGCGACTGTCTGCCTTGAGCTCTGTTTGTTCTGCAAACCACGGACTTGCGTCTTCACGAAGGTATCCCGACGATCGTGCCTAGCCCTGGGCCGTGAAGTTGACGACCAGAAATCCTGACGACAAATGCGACGGATGGCCGCGGTAAAATTGTCAAAACACACGTGTCTAGCCAGGGAAGTGCATTGCAGGTCTCGACTGGGCTCTGCACGCGATGGATCGCAGCAGTTCTCTTTCAGGCTAGATCACTGACTTGGGTCGTAACGTTGATCGTGTGTGGTTCTCACGAAGTAGAATCTTGTGGCCTTTTGAGATCTAGGAATCTCAACACAATTTTGCAGGCTTGATGCAGTGTTGGCTTCTGTTCGGCGAATTGAGGGACGCCAGTGTTGATTCTCCACCAAACAAGGCAACCGTGGGGACTTTCACAAGGATCGCTCGACGGATGAACAGGTGACTGAAGGCAAGTTCGCCGGTTCACCGGATGGTATGTCATGACTGTCGGCAAACGAGCCAGACACTGGCAATCCAGCCTCAGTCGACATGTATGGCGGGCCAATGATGTCCTGCTTGAAGGCTGCCACCAACCTTTACGTGCCCACCAATTGCTTGTGCCTCGGTTGATAGGGACAAAGCGCCGTTTTGGATCGAGGGGCTCCAGTCACATTATAGGGGGCTTAGGGCCAGACATTCGTCCCCCACGAAAGGCGAGAATAACCGCTCCGAGCCTCAGGCGATTGTTTTCGACGACTCACGAGCTCCAGGGTAGCATGCCACAGCCGAATGCGAAACCGGCTGACACGGCGAGGAACTCCATGTTTCGGAACCGGAATTTAAAGAATCTCATATGGCAACAAGACACCGGGGTTTCCAGACAAGGAGGGCAACTGAATAGAAAAAACGTGTACTCACATCCGCAGATTGATGTATTCTGTTCAAAGAGCTTCTTGCCAACATCGCCATAGTACCTGACTGCCCGGAACTCATTCCAGCAGGAAGTGAGAGTCGTCCGAGAGCAAGAGCTGAGGCCCGAATTCTGCCGCCGCTGGGGCTGTGGGGGAGTTTTTGTTGTCTAATCTTCGACGTGGTCAGGTGCTGGTCTGTAGCCCCCAGCGGAACCCTTCAGGGTGGCGTTCGAGGACAGATCAAGACACTGTCGGGGTGTTGATGCTTGCGATCTCACGAGGGAACGAACAAGCTAGCAGTTCATTTCAGACTGATGAAAGTGTCTGGCAGAGAGAGAGGCGTAGAAGGAGGATAGGGTCACAGATCGGAAACTCGTTAATTGGAAGGCTGTTGAGTAGGAGAAACGGCAGGGCGTCTGGCGCAGTTCTTAGGCGGGATTTTCGGGTGGTCGTAGTGTGTACACCCTCCGAGCACTGTCTGTCCCTAAGTCACTTTATCGCGCCGCCTGCCAGCCAGCAAAGAGTGATCTGGACCGAATTTAAGGATAAGTCGGAGTGCTCTGAAGTCTAGGAGTACTATAGTATGGCAGAGGTATATTACAGGTACTCTGGCATTCTGTTCAGCTGGCGGAGACCAGGCGAGGGACAAAACCTAGCGAGAATCCTTATCGCAGGAGGCTTATCGGTACTTGTTAGTACCCCAAAATTACAATTTACTCCTAGTACCCTGGCGGGCATGAAGCGAATCCAAGTGCACATACGCTGAACGCATGAAAACTTGTTCCATCCATACAAAAAGTCCTCCTGTAGAACTCTGGGGCTCGAAAACCGTAGTCTAGCTGCTACCACCTCCCTATGGCGGGTAGCCAGGATAAAAGCACAAGTCCGGCCAAGTGAAGAACGGAGGCGTCCTACTACTGAAGCCCCAATGGTACTGCTCGTACCATTGCACACAGCCAACACATAAGCCCAGCCCAGTCCAAACTTGCTCGCGATGCGATCAATAAGATCTTTGTACCTGCCGGGTGCGAGGTATCCTCCTAAGTCATAACCGTACGACGCAGGGAGACTGTCTAGGAGCGCAGCAAGCCTGCTCCGTTCGTGTAGCAATGGTCAATAATCTGTCAGTTGTCAGTAAATACGTCGACAAGTCAATGGTGAGCTTACCGTAAGCCATATGAAGCGCGCTACCCGGGAACAAGAACTCGGCATCCGCACGACAAAGTCCCTTGACCGGTAGCGTTAATTCCCCTTTACCGATGACATTAGCCCGGCATTCATGGCAAAGAACTAGCCCGCATCCTTGTCCATGACAGTCCTCTGGCGACAAGGCTCGTCCAACCTTGTCGAATTGTTGTTTTGAGCAGCACTTCCAAAGAGCGGCTTTCGGACAGATTGAACATGTCGGGTATGCGCCCACTTTGAGTGGAGGATGGAAGGGCTGTACCTGGACCTGACCATTGTATTGGAGTAGACGCTCGGGTGAATGGCTTAGAAACTGTTTGAAGCGATGGTTGTTGCATCGAGAGATATACAGTCGGCTCAGCGCACAGCTGACGCACATCCGTGTAGCTTCACGACCTCGCGCTCGATGGCCGTTGCCGGTTTCCTCATATTGGCCCGCGCCCGTGTCCTGGCCCTGGAAGGACGGGTACCGGATCACTTCCACGGTGATTTTACCATATCCATAGATACCATATCGAAAATCCAAGCAAAAATGGCAGGGCTTTGTTTTGGTAGGGATATGCTTGTACTGAACAGGGTGGGCCCAAGGTGTTGTGATCACGACGATTCTGCCGGTGGCCTCTGCGGGAGGATAAAACTCTGCCTGACGTGGAGAAGACGGAGGCGAGTCAAGGACGATTGGATTATCGAAAGATGCTCCTATTTGAGTGAGCAAAGGATTCTGGCGCGGTGGACTAACATGAGGCTTGACAAATTGGCTTGCCAGTGCCCTCGACGTAGGGGTCTTTGTTGGCGATTCCATACCAACAGAGCCCGATTTGACATCGGGGGAGGGGCGTTGTAGGCGCCTGGGGCCAGATCGAGGAGTCACGTCTGAGTCGATGTCATCTTCTCTTTCTTCCTTGAGGGCGACTTCTCCATTACCCATATCACACTCGACCTCTTTTTGGGAGCATCGAACGCAGGATAAAATACCAGGCTTCCCAAGGGCCGACACGCATTTCTTCCTCGCAGCTCTGCAAGCACTGCACCGCTGACTGACGACCCGATCTTCGTCCAGGATCTTCCCGTTACGCAGAACACGGCCATCCTTGTTATCAATCTTTTCGCTCTCGTTATCGCAGTTGGAGAAGTTGTCCTGAGCCGCTTTGATGCGATGGCCTTCTTGAGGATCAGGTGGGTCAAGACGTCCCAACGACTCTTCTCCTTGCACAGAGTTCCATCCGCCTCCTTTAATGTTGGATTCGTACCCGGTTCCAAGCGTGTCAGCTGGACCGCCCAAAAGCTTCTTTCCAGCGTCCGATTTGAGTTTCAAGGTAACCAAAAGACTTGGTAGATCGACTTTCTCTTGCTCGTCGGGAAGAGATTCAGTTCCATGGTTCTGGTCAGTGGTCTGCTTGACTCTTTTCGGCGTTTTACGGGCACTGGCTAAATGACGACGTTTTCTGGGGGTACTCGGCAAATATTCATCCGCAGACGATTCATCATCCTGCCAGGTGACGGCGGGTACGATCTTCAAACTTGGGGCTACTTGGCGAAGGTTGTAGTTGGAGCGCAAGTGACGTCTTATGTTCGGTGAGTGGCCGAATTCAATTTCCCGTGTCTTGGATTCGCGGTATGCGCGGAGGGCATGCTGGAGCCTCGCCTGCGTGTAGGGCATCACGAGAATAGAATTGTTCGAGTTCAGAAAATGGAGTTGCAGGGGTCGAGTAGGGCAAAGGTTGACGGAACAGAAAGACAACGGCAAGATGAAGAGCGAACTGAAGGAAACGGGTAGGTGAAAGTGATTTCCTGACGCCAGTATAATTGTTATGAACTGCACATGCTCTGCAAATGCGTATGGAAAAGCGCAGTACAAGTGAGAGACATCTGATTTTCTGTTAGCTTAAGTTCATTCAGAGCTAAAGTGACAATCGTAGGAGACGAGATTCGTTCAGATCTAAGCCCTGTCAAAGGCTGTGGTCGTCAAAGCCTAAGCTACGTTGACCGTCGTGATAAAGTAGAATAAATCATCATTGAATGGGCATACTGTGGCAGAAGGAAGAGACTTACACAACATCCGCGTTATACTGCCCTGATTTCTGCCTGACCAACAGTCAGTGTCCTCCTCATGACTTAAATCATTTGGCACAGGTTCATGGTGTGCAGAAAATCAGGTATGACAGTCTCGTCTCGGCCGACAGAAGTCGACTTGGACATATGCTTGTCTTTTGAAATGTCGATTCATCATATGGTAACTGCAGGGTGCCGTTGGCAGTCCACGTACCATGTCTTGGTGCCACTCTATCTGAAAACCGGTCAGTGAACGATTCCAACAGGTATAGTGCGAATATTGAGAGATGTCAAGGCTCAGGAAATGCATGAATGGTAGTTGATGTGTGTCCGCATCAGAAGATCTGAATCAGACTCGTCATCTAGATGGTTCATCATAGAAGGGAGGGCAATGGCGGAAAAGGAATGCTTACGGCAACCGGACTGAGTCCAATGTGACCTTTCCCGCCTTTTGCAAAACATCAGTGACGTTCTTCATACTGAAGGAATAAGACGAGCATAAACAGTGGTGATCAGTGGGCGAGGTTTTCTAGGCCTGCCACAACAGGGCATATCCGTCATGACCAGCCACATTTGTGACTGTCGGCGCCCAGTGCCATTCATCAACGAACCAAGTGGAAAGAGGTGCACAAGGGCCATACCATAAAAGATCCGTGGCGGCTCTGTTCAGGGAGTCAGTTACTGTGCCTCTAGGTTAAGCTCGATGGGATGCATTGTGCAAGAGGTAGTCCTTTCAGATATAGCCATTTGATATCTTCCACGACCCGAGGGTCTCAGCCGGTAATTTCCAGCGTATATTGTATACAAAATGATCATCATGGTAAGAGTGCAGGGCAGGTTGGATCGTACGTACATTGGACTTTGGTGGAACACGGGTCCGAAAGGCAGGTAAATGCTGGAGAACTAGCTGGACGTTAGTAGGGACCAACAGACAAAGGCAGAGCGGCTAGGAGATGTATGTGGCAATCAGACTGACGTGCTTGCGATTCGAGTTTCATTCCCATAGGGGTCAAAGACTCTAGTTTGTTACGGTATGCAAATTCATCACTGTGCTGGGGAGGGTGTTGGAGTGGTACTGACCATGTGTTGGATACTGCCAATCCATTTTCCAATGGCCATCAGGCCTTATACTGGAGGCTCATAATCACCACCACCATGCCGGTCCGTAAAGGACGATTTCGACCTAATGATTAGCAGTAAATGGAAGTCAGTTGCTTTGTTAGGTCGAGATTGACCAAGCCAGCGACAGGTCGCTTCAGAGCGTCAACAATGTCCGCCGCCGCCAGCTCTTCATTGTGTCCAGCTTGTCAAAGCCGAAGACCTTGCACACAGATGGAGTTGAGACGGTGTACAGTGCGAGAGATCTCTCGCGGCGGCCCGACAAAGGAGTCTGTGACATGAGAACAAACTCTGGAAAAATCGCGTCTTAAAAATGTCGAAGGAATTGAAGTTGCAGTTGCAAGTGGTTCAAGTTTCTTTGCAGATTCGGACACTGCAGTCTTGGCGCCGTCTGACGACACTATTCCAGACTGGGGCTAGTCCAAAGTACCGTCTTGGAACCTCGAGTTCTTGCTGCCAGTGGTTGAAGTTGGTTAGGGACCACTGCAGCTTGGACTCGATCCTCAGCCTTGTCCCAAAGTACAACTGCCCCTGCCTTGTGTACCGTGGACTCCGACGGAGTCAAAATACGCAAAGTCCATATGGCTATCTATCCAAAGGCAGATACACCATCTCTGCCTGTGACATTCACGCCTCCACGCGCTATGCTCGGTCGAGCGCCTCGGTCGACGCCTGTAGGGTCCATTGGTAGCCCAAAGGCCAACTTGCGTGTACTATTGCTACACAAGGCGATGTAATGTGCCTGACTGATAAGGCTATATACCGATCCGGGGACCGGGGACTCACCAGGGCTACATTGGCCTTCAATGAGAGGTGCATTACTGACATGAGCTCAAGGAGGTACGTAAGGGATCGTTGACATATGAAGAAGGCATTGATGCTCCTTAAAGCGATTCTCACATATAGATTTGACCGAAAATGGGAGACATCGGCGGTACTCGTCGGTGCGGAACAATACGAAATTGTGGGTACCCAGCTTTAACACATATCACACCTAGAAACCTCGGCAGCCACCCTTAAACCCCAAGGTAGCAATCATCCGCCCCAGAAGAGGAGTTGCTGCCTTCCTTGGATCCTCGGGCCCACGTTGGCATACGGTGTGAGCGACAGAAGAACAGGCTCGATCATAGTATGTGTACGTGCATGCATACATGGTACCGTATCATTCTCATACCAGAACAACCAACCCAGCCGCAAACGCAGCCACAGCAGCAGCAAAAGTGATTCCATGATCATGAATTCTGAAAACAATGGGACCAGCACCACTTGTTGAATTGCCCGTCTTCGTTGCTGTGTCTGACGAAGAACTGCTGTCGCCATCTTCATCGATGAATTCGGCACCCCCGTCACCCTGGCATGTCTCGCCTTTTGGGCAGCAGCCGTACACGCCATTCTCGCCCTTCTGGCACACAGCGGAGGATGAACAGCCTCCCTCGTTGTCCGGACAGCACGTGTAGTCGCTCGGGATGCAGAACTTGCCGCAGACCTTGTCGTCGTCCGAAATGCATGAGATTGTGTCGTTGCCCGTCGTGGCACGTGCGAGGAGGCCGCTGTCTGGCCACACGGAGGCGGAGACGATAATTGGGAGCACAGCGAAGGCGAAGATGAAGCGCATTGTGCCTTGTAGTTGGAGTACAATATTGGGTGCTCGATGGTTCCAGCTTATCGTACTAAATAACAATCGACAAAAACAACGTATACTATTCGTTTCTTCGTCAACCAATAGTCGTGGTGCAGTAGGCGGGCTCTGTTCAAGGTGGTGTTTCCCTTGAATTGTCGGGTTCAAGTCTGTTTGTGGTTGAAGCAAAAGCGAGGACTCCACGGGTAATGTTGAGCGGGCTGCTCAACGAGGGTGGGTTTGAAAATTGTAATGCAAACGGGGCTGGAGCAGCTAGCTGCACGCCTGGCTGTCGTGTTACTCTTCAGTCCGGGCGGTGGGGAACGCAAGAATCAGAAATAGAACTGAGAGAGAGAGAGCGCGCAATGTAAGGAAAGAGGGCTTGCATTCTGAAGGATGATATTGGAAATGTCCCTCAATGTATGTACCTGCATATCTTCGCTTTTAATTGAAAGAAACGTGTAGCAGGACTCGGCGTTGTCATCCCACAAGATTGATAATCGGAGGTCAACTTCATTGAGCATTCATTGGTAGCGTCGGGACAGGACGGTGTCATCGCATGAAAGAAACAGATCCGCATCTTTCTCCTCCCCGGTCATGCGGGCCAGGGATCAGAGCGTACATTTAGATTGCGTCCGCCGAGCAATGGAAGCAGCGCCCAGAACCACTCCGCTGCACAGTCGCACGGCGTACCTGAGCATGGTCTGCTGGCAATTGAACTTCCAACAGCGACAAGGCTGGGCCAATCGGGAAAGCATCGATCAAGCTCTGGTGCGACCGTGATGGGCGTTGAGTGGGACAGGGTCCATCTCATATTATTATGTTGGATACCAGTCTCATGCTGTAGGCTAGTTGATTTCTGTAGTGGCCCATGTTGTTACCATGAGGTATCAGGAGAGGACCTCAGAAGTGATTGCAGCAGTATGTTGATATCTCCAGGAGGATGGATGGGTGTGCACGGCCAAGAACACAAGACAAACCGGGGCCGCCGTGGGAAATTTGGCCAAGCAAGGCCCGCGGAAAAAGGGGTTAACCTTTTGGCAGCCAAGAACACAGCCTTGAGCGGTTGAGCACCTGTGTACTGCTTGTTTCCGGCTGAACGAGGTGCATTCGAAAGGGAGCGGCATGGAAATGGGAGTTGTGTACCTGGCCTTCTCCCTACTATGGCAGCTTCAGCCCACATAGAAGAAATGAGGCCAATCGGCTACAGGACGAGATATCAAGGTCCATCCTGGCACCCCGGATACGAAGAACCAGTAGGTCCGGTCAGAACTGACTTAGCACGCAGGATCTCAATATTCATTCCCACCCTATGATGATAAGATCAGGATTGGCTCCTTCCTTACTTCAGGTAAGAGCGACGAACCATGACGCCGTTATACCGCCAGCAATAGCGCCTCTCCCGCTGGGCACCAACACCACAAAATCACACCCACGACACCGTTGCATCCGTTATGCACAGATATTTGGAAGCCACCGTTTTGCCATCATTAACGGCCCTAGTCCTCATAGCCACTGTCTGCACCATCGTCAAGGGCCTGATTAACCAGGGCATCCGCTTCCTGATTCCATTGACGATCGACTCTCCAAAACCGCACGGCCATTTTTTCTTTCTCTAAATCGGTGATGGTCTGATGGATTTCACGGATGAGGTCGGCATGTTCCACCTTTTTGCCCTTGTTGCTCTTGTACCCGTTCCGTTCCCACTCCCACACCCACTCACTCAGACACTTGGCGACATAATCTGAGTCGAGCTTGATGATTATTTCACGCCATCCCTCCAATTGCCCTGCCCGTCTCCTGCCCCGCACAATATTGAGAGCCATGCGCACGGCTTCCAGCTCGGCACGAGAACTGGTTTGTGGAACATGCGAATCAAGCAAGCCATACTTGTTGTAGCGGCAGTTGCGGCCAAAGAATACTCCATAAGCCGCTCGCGAGTTCGGGTTCGATCGATTGTTACCGCGGGAGCCGCCGTCGACAGAGATCACGACCGACCGCATTCGCGGCACAAATGGGGCTCCGGTGTATGGAAAGTGGAATAGTCGACTGTACTCCCATTTGGGACTGTATTTGACTAGCTTGTCAGGGTCAAATGTCTTCCAACCATAGCGGACAGACTTCGTAGGGTCGAAGTTGCGGCGTGGTCGCTGATCCTGCGGTGGCTGTCGTCAATGAAGGGCTCATGCTTCGCTCCATGAAATATTCTCGCGGTTCCTAGTTATCGTAATGAAAAAATGTCCCTGAGACCTACCTCCATCGTGAACTTTGGGAACAGCTGCGCTATCAGCCAAATATGTATCAAACGTGGCTAATATTGTGTCTACGATTGAGAGAAGTTGCTACAGCTTCGTCTACAAGAAAAGAGACAGAGTAGTAGTTCAGTCCCGCATCTTACACTGCTTGCTACCGGCGCTGTCACTGTTCGCCGTCCTACGAGCAAGCCGAAGTGACTGGAAGCAACCATGATGTACTGTGACAAAATGGGCACCCTACGTGCCAAGCATTGTAAAGACGTCGAGGACTGTCTTTCGGTCTCGACTAGCGTCGTACGCTATCGTATAGCCCCTAGAAAGTATATAGTCTAACAAGGCCCTAGGCCCCGTTAAAAAAGGATAAGTTCTCCGTAAAATTATATTTAGTAGCGGTAACGAGATAGTTCTCTATCTTAAATTAGGATTCGTAAGGACTTCTATACTCTCTCGAGAAGAAGAGAAGCGTAGTCGATCGCCGAGAAAACTGATATTCTTCTATACGAAGTCGATTAAAGATAAACGAAACTATCTCGATATATAGCGAAACTAATCGATAAGGAAATTTTCTAGCTCGAAGCTCGTCTTTTATACCCGACGAACTTCTTCTAGTTTCGTAGCGAAGACTTACGAGAATAGTACTTTTAGAATAATAAGTAGCGATAAAAATTTCTTATCGAGAAAGGCAAATTATAGTAGTAAGTAGTAACTTTCTCCTCGAAAATTTTAGTCTCGCTACCCTTAGGTATTCTTAGTTATAAATAATAGCTAGCGATATAACTAAGATATAATAATAATAGCTACTTCGACGTCCTTAATTATATTCTATCGACCTAGATATTACGAATAATAATATTATCGAAGAGCTCGACGCGTTAATAGAAAAAGAAATATTACTACTAGAATAAATCCTTTATTAGAATCTTATCTAAATTATACTAGTAGAAACTAGATAGTTATCTAGATCTATCTAGATTTATCTATATTATTATAGACGATAGAAAATAATAGATTAATTAAAGAAAGACGTATAATAAAGCCTCTTAGGGAATAGAATATTATTTAGCTAGGGACGGCCTCGAATATCGAGAGCTAGTTATAAAGCGCTCTTACTAAATAAGGTAGAAGCTTCTATAAAGAATATATTCTTCTTAGGCTGCGCAACGGGTTGGGTAGGGCAGGGTTTAGGGCACCTACCGCCCGCCTAGTTAACCTAATAGGGTTTTTAAAAAAAGCGCTACCCTACCCTTATAGGTTTCGGGTAGGGTAGGGTACCCGATAGGTTTTACTAAGAACCCTAAAACCTAATTATTAATTAAGATCTTCGTAATATATTATACTCCGTAATAAAGTAATATAGTATATAATAACTTATTATAAGTATTATTATAATAATTACTTACTAATTTTACTAATCTATTATCTACTAATCGTAATACGAGAATAGATATATAAGGAAATAAGTATATATATTCGAATATCTAGTTAAAGTTATAATTATTATATACGCCTCTTTTCTTTCTCGCTACTCGAAATCTCGACTATAAGAGTAAGTCCTCGGCTACTATTTCCGTATATTTATAATTATAATAGTAGACGATTACGACTTAGAAGGCTCGAACGAGAAGAAATCCCGTATCTAGGAGTTAAAGTCCGTCTAGAGCGACGTCGAGTAGAATCCGAGAATAAAGCTAACGTTTCGAATATAGTAACTAAGAGACCTCTCGAGCTAGAAGACTTCGAACTATATATTAAAAGAGTTAATTATCTAAAGAGAGTTAGAGCTTTTAGTATATTAAACCCTACGAAGACTTTAAGTATTCGTTAGTTTTTTATAAGTAGTTAAGATATTACGCTCGACTATTAAGAAGAGTTATTATAATCTTTATCTTAACGACTATTAATCTCTATATCTAGTAGATTAAGATTAGATTTATCTTTATCTTCGAAATACTCTA